GAATGTATTCTCTGTGAATGCATCAGACGCTTGTCTCTAGCCCACCATAAGTCTAGTTAGAATTCCCCATCTGTGCTCCCCCCACCCCCTTTGAATTTCGATCAACACACATGAACACGGATGCAAGAACACCGACCGAGACACTTGCGAGACACCTCTTATCTGCTTAATATCATCTGCACAGACCGGGGATGGGAGGTTGGGCAACATCTGTTCAGGAGACTGACATATCTCTGATCGTATCATAGCCCCTGCTCATTACTGCATCTCCACTTTGCATGCACATGCACATACAAACACACACAAACATGAAATGTCACATCTTGTGCTCACAATTAAAACACTCTGACAGGAGGCAACAGATTATTATTAACATGGTCCCACACCTGAGGCTCGAAGACTCTATTAAACATATCGGGAGATGATAACATGAAGGACTTAGTACACAGCACATGATACATTACACTGGATAACTAAATAATTTGAACAAAGGACTGGAAATATTGACTGTGATACAGTTAAATACAACTGTTAGGTGATGCAGTTGTTGGGTAAATCTAATCTGAAAGGAGGCTTTGCAAAAAAAAAAAAGTCAGGGAGACAAATATGTACATTTTTGTCCCATATCTCTAAAGAAAAAATAGAGCATATAGTGTGAGAGCTTGTGAAAAATCTCATATTTGAGGACTAAAGCTTCAGTTTACTAAATCAAAGTTAAGGAAAATGTACTTAATTGTTTAAACATAATCTACTTAAAAGTTATTTTCAGCAAAACGCTGAAAGCCAGGTTCATACAAAAGAAAAATACAAATGTATCTCTCTTTTTTATTGGGAACATTTTTTTATTTAGAATTCATTTTGTATGAGCCAACATGGGGAACAGATATACAATTCCGAGAACCCACAGCATAGTTCATGAACATGATGTGCCTAGCATGTAGCCACAGGCACCTGCTCCCATATGCAGAGCAGCTTCCCCCATGGAGAAATGAGCCACCTGTGTCCTGTAAAGATTTAGCAGCTCTGCTTAAAGTGTTCCTCTAAGCATTGCCATCTCATTAGACACTGGCTTTTACCACTACACAACACACAGAGTACAGATTCACATTTGCTCAAACAATTTTCTCATGTTGACCGATCAAGCAATCAAAATGTGGGGTTCTATGAAAGGACTATCACATACAGACAACAGACATCTGACATCTACAGATTAGGATCTGTCCCATATTAAATCACAGAAGATTCTGGTCCATCCCGTGCCTTCTTCAATATTTCTACTATCAGTGTCTAATCAGACACTGAATCTGGCATCAACAGAATGTTATATGCACTAGATAAATAACAAATGACAGGTACAGCTGCCAGAATGGAGCCACATCTGGTAATGGTGTATTTATTGAGATTTATGTTTCTCATGTGACCACTTTCGGAAACATCAACGCTCACAGTATGGCAAAGAACTGAACTGATTTATATACCTATGCTAATGATAGTATCAGACATCTCAGCATAGTTCATATAATTTGAAACAGCAGTTTTATTCAAAGATGTTTCAAAGGCTTTTTTTTTAATCATGTGACCTCAGTAACAGTCATATGCTCTTGTAAGGCTGATTTTGTACAGCAACAGTCTACATTTGCTTTTAGAGACTGTTAGTTGACACACGGTCACGAAAGGGCTTACAATTTCAGTCATCAGAAAAATCAGCTGTGTTTGTTTTTTATTCCGTCTACAGGACAGGAGCTGTTGAGCATACACAGACTACAAAGGCCAGTTTGGTCTGGCTTGTAATCTCCACATTAAAAATATACAAAGTCACATTGGTTCTTCCATGCCGTCATCAGTCTGTGTCCTGCCCAGAGTTATATCTCTTCTCTATAAAAACAATTACATGAGCTCTAATTATAGATTGTTCATTAAACATGTAAATCTAAATTCAGGTACCATTGACCATGTTGGTCTTGTGCACTTAAGGTCATTTTTAAATGGACCAATACAGCCTTCATATACATTTAGCATGTTAAACATTTCCTAAAAATGTCAAAAGGTGGTTTTGATGGTTATCATTTCATAAAACTAAAAACATGACCTTCTCTTTTACAATCAAACTTTTAACCCTCTCACATTGGAAAGAATGGTGTAAGATAAATCACTGACCTATGCATGGGTGCAGTTATCACGTGTTTTATGGTTTCTTCTTTTGCATTAAGGGTTCAACAACATGAATAATTAAGTTTTTAATTACAGTGGCAACAAAAAGCAAGGCACAGAGGGAAAAGGCTAGACATGGGACAGCCACGTAATTGGATCTGGCCTTGAGCACTTCACACACTTTCACTACATGTAATAAATGCTTCTGTAATATCTATCTCAAGTAGAATTGTCGATAGTGTGGACTGTAATGACCCCTTTATAGTTTTATACCTTTTCAGGAAAAGTAATCATGACCATGTCATTATGTATGCATACAGGTGAAAGAGCAGTCTTGTCATTGGCCCTGTGTAATTATTAGGGAATCTCCCAGTTGACAAATACAAGGCATATTTGGCCTTAAGGAGATCTGTGAAAGGCTCTGCACTGTGCTCTCTGTTACTTAACAACAATAATATACAAAAAAAGCTTAGAGTCTATGTAAATGTTAATAAGTATGTAATGATTAGGATAATTACAAATTGCTACAGATTTTAGGGCTAACTATTACTGTTTGATATATATATGTATATATATATATATATATATATATATATATATATATACAGAGATATAGATATAAAATTAGTATTTTATCAATGACAAACTGTATTATTTGCGTATTAATAGGAATCTCTGAATTCCATGTGGCTTTAGCCGCGGTATTTATGGCACAACCTGTGATAAAAACTATTTCTACCAACAGCATGGAACCAAGTATTCATTAATAATTCATGTTACATTCTGCTACAGACTTATTTATGGAATCATGAGTAGCCACATGAAGCCACATTCTTGTTTCACACACCTGTGGCTAGGTAAACAATGGCCTGCAGAAGGTCATTCATCATGCAGGATAGGAAATCAGAGAAAAGAAACTTAAAAAAGCAAAGAAGGACAAAATGCAGATGGAGGATGAAGGACTAAAAAGCGTTATGGCTACGAGGAAACAGTTTAAGTGCCTTAGGCTATCACCAATTGTATATATACAAATTTAGGTTTTTAGAAATACTGAAAGTCCTTTGCAAATCTTTTTATTTGAAGACATTGAGCGGTAAAGGACATTCCAACTGCAACAAAATTCCTGCTCTTTCATGCAGATGGAGCAAGAGCGGCTCATATAGTTTGACCGGCAAACGTTATCTCAGTGAACAACTCTATCCTCAAAGGGCAATTTTCTTAAGTTATCTTCTTCCTTCCTCTAAATTGTGATGCTTGTTCCGTACAGCGCAATCGCTCTATGGTCTTTGCCTTTCATTCCAAAAGTTCCCATATTTGTTAAGTCCCTGCTGATTTGCTCTTTTTCCCCAGCATTTCTTTATCCACTCATGTCACCATGCATGCATACATCTTAGGAGAGAGAACGCAGTAGAAGTGTGCCTCCAGGTCATTCGTAAGAGAGGAGAAAACATAGAGACTCAAATAATGATCAATGTCTCAATCTCTTGGGGTAAGAATGACTGTCAACATCAAGCAATCGGATGCCTCACCCACCACCTACTCATACAACCCTTCACACAAAATGCACTCTGATGCAAACCAGCCTGCCCTCTATCACAGTGTATGCATAAGAGCCAGCTTTGACTCCGTTGCTTATGTGTCTCATGACACCAGAACACATTAAAATGATAAGAACCCCAGAGTTTATGTCTAACATACACGGCACAGACACTGAGCAGACGATCTGTTCATTAATATTTGTAAATACTCCTGTTCCATTACTAAAAGGACAACAGTAAGGGGTGCTGTGAACTCACCCAGAATGCACAAAACAGCTCCAACTCTTGATAGAGATGTGCAACTCTGACCTACTTCTGAATGGAAAAAGGGAGTGGGGAGAAAGAACGAAGTCCCCCAGGGTCAAGGCTTTCATTATCACATTTCCATTTAAAAAAAAGAAGCATTTCAGTCCCTGATTCTATTTGCAGAAATATCTATTCAGTCTGAGTCTTCCCCTCCAGTCTGTCTAATCTGCAGTTGACACATCAAGCCCCTGTCTAAAGTTTTGTGGGCTGATATCAGTAATATACATATTGTGTTAAACAAACGTAATGTCTATCATATGTTAGATTCATCCACTCATTTTCACGACTAGCTATATCATCCCATTCACAGCTGGGTGAGTGGCAGTCCCAGTTTATACAAGTCACTACTCCCTCACAACGCAAACGGAGACAAAGAAGTCATGTCCTTTCAGTGGAAAATGTGAAGAGAAAACACATACTTGATGAAAAATAGAAACAGGAGTGGTGAAATAGTCAATGTTAATATTATTTGGATAACCACACATTATTACTGTAGAGCAATGAGTTTTGCATTAAAATTTAGTCCCCTGCATCAGAACACTGTTTGTGTTCCAGGAGGTTCTGCTTGAAAAACCAAAAAAACAAAGCTGTAATGAAGATGGCTGTTGATGTGTCTTCACAGTTCAAACTGTCGGAGAGTTGGCAAATGTGTAACTTGACTTTAAAGAGAAAAATATGTTTTCATTGTTGAAAAACAAACAAATGAGCAGACTTCATTTTTTAGATATGTGAACAATTCCCAGAGACAGACTCCGGAAAGCATAATCAAGAATCGTGACTGGCAGGTTGTGACCAACACCCACTTTGTTTAATTATATCTGAAGTGTTTTTGCCACCACGCTTTGATTACTTAACCTATTTTATAAGTTCAAGTCCACAAGAGCGAATGGAAAACTTCTCTCCATTATGGCTCTTGTTGATAAAGGCTTTGTCCTGCACTGTATCAAAATATACATAAACTGCTGCAACCTGACAGCTGGTTCCCCCGAGTGGAAAGAGTCTTACCTCCAAGGCAGCAGACCTCTTCCGCAGCAGCTGTTCGATGTTCCGGGCCGCCCTGGCCACCAGCTCCTCCGCGTCATTTTGCTCCACAGTGTAGAGGTGCTGGTTTTTCAAAAAAATCTACAGAGGTAAAGACACCGGAAATGGCATGTAGTCATTAGTGGAAATTTGCAAATTTCAGTAAATATAATGACAATGTGAATGTAAACAAGAATTATTCTCTGGTTTTTCATTTTCAAATAAAGATAGCAGAGTCCAAAGCATAACATTTGGATGCACTGATTTTTTAAATAAAATTCATTTTCTTGCATTTCCGTTTTAATACCTGGGTGAGGCTCTTGCCAGCTGTTGCTGCATCTGCCAAGGTGACAAGCTCTTTCTGCATTTGATCAACCCATTCCTTAATCCTGCAGGACAAAGCAATGCACACAACACATCTTGAAACTGAGATTAAAAGAGACTTCACAGACATCTCACACCACAATTAAACGGTCAATCAGGCTATCCGACATCTATCATCTACCACAACCATCCAGCCACACAACGTGAAAACAAACAAAACCAATCACACTCATGCTGTAGGTCGAGCAGAATGTTCCCCAATGAAAGGGAAAAAGGTAATTTACCAAAAGATGCGCCAGAGGCTGCCATCAATATGATGAGATTTGGGAAGTTCAAACATGAAATAAAAACAACCAGAAAGGTGTCAGCCAATATTGTGGCTTTTGACAGTTAGTCAATGGACAGGTGAAAGGTGGGAGGAGGCCAGGATCAATATGTCTCCGTATATCCCAGACCCGTTGCATCATTTCCAGCTTGGTGGTGTTATGGATTCACAGGTTTACAGGTTATCTGGCTTGTCAAAAACAAATAGCCTCTAAAGATGCATTCCACTATTCATCACCTCCTTCCTAAGAATCCACAGTAAAAGAACAATATCAAGACTTTACATATTAAACAACAACTAGTTTAGTGGTGCCCCTTTGTATGCAATGACTGTAGCACCAAGATTAGTCTTCTATGTTGATGCATATCTAAACATTTCCCACCTGCTATAATCCATGTACTTAATGATCATCTCGTGCTCACTCATTAGAATACAGATGCATTAATATCATATGAGAGTGAAAAGAGGTTGGCTAAGAATACAGCTGCGATCATTATACCTTCACACTGACACTCACCCACCCGAATATAAACACAACAGAGTAAACATTGTGAGACGGATATTCTTTATTTTTTCCACAGTGGGAATAGGCTCCCACAGCCCCACAAGGAATAAATGGTGTATCAAATGGATGGATAGATTTAGTTATCAATGAATATCTTCATAAACTATCTGGAAATGAAGAACACTGACTGTTACGAAACAGAGGGATTGGTAAGAGAGAAGGGAAACAAAGATCCAAAATGCTAAAAAGGAAGAAGGAAAAATGCCTGAGACAGAAGAAATATACAGTGGATGAGTAAAATTCAGAACAAGCTGAGATGAGACATTCTCAAGAGAGAATACCATAGGGGATAGCTAAGTTTATCAGATGCAAAGTAAACGTTTAGAAATCTTAATATTTGCTTCTTCACAGACTTCAAATCAGAAAGATCTTGTGCATCCTTATCACTCAAAGAAGGTCATTCCACCACAGGAATCTTATGTTGCATTTATAAGTAAGAAGTAACGTTAATTTCTTTGTTCTGTGATAGCAGTTTTAAACTGATATTTAGTACCAATCTACACAGCAAAGGTTTAGGATGAGCCTGCACTGTAACAATTGACATATTTGTTGGATAGACAAAATAATAACATATTCAGTAGAGATTTGAGGGCATCTATTTGTATTATCATATACCGTATAAGTGATGATTAGAAGGAATAAAATGTTCTGTAATTACTTTAATGGCAATAATGCAGATGTTCCTCTCCAGTCTTCTTTTCTGGCATTCTGGTTTCTATCTTCTTTAACTTTTTCTCCTCTAAATTCTCTTTTTTTTCTCCTTGCGTTCGTCTGACCAATCCATCGTTGCCCTTAACTCTCCTAACTGCAGGTGTTTGAGTGGACCTTGGAACCCATAAGCTTTTAAAGCCTGAAACACTGACAGTGAGCTCTGAGTTACGGTTTATGTGCATGACATAAAGTGTGTGTGTGTGTGTGTGTGTGTGCTTGCAGGGACCTGGCATTCAGAGAAGTGGAGAGTATTCCTTCCTGAGTTCAACTTTCATAAAGGCTCCTGCAACCAGTGCAAATCTCTATGAAAACAACTCTGAGATCCTGACAAATGCAAGAGAAAACACTGGCTTATTGTGTTGCTTGTGTGTGGTTCTACACATAAAATATATATGGGCTGGATTTTTTGCTTTGTTTTATTTACTCTCTATTCTGTTTAACTTTTTTGATGCACTCTTCTGTTATGAGCCTGTTTCATCAGATTCCAGATCAAAGAAGAATAACTTGGTTCAACTCTTGATAAAATTGAAATATTTTGTTCGTTGTACTGTTTATTTGCTTTTTGCTGGTAATGAGTCATTCTGCAAAAGACTGCAAAACTCTATTGACCGTTGTCCTTGGTCTTTCTTCTTCTTCGATGGTGTAAATTCCCATTGCTACCAACGAGCTAAACTTCTGTTAGGATAACTTCTGTTGTGGCTTTTGTTGTTGGGCTGTGTTGTGAATTTTGTTGTTGTGTTGACCCCTCTAGGCCACCGTACAGATGTTACATTTTAACATGATCACTGAGTTGATTAAATATGAGTTAGAGCTGTGTTAGAGCACAGTAGAAAGTTTCCAAAAGCAATATAGCTGTGGCTTTGTGTGAGTATTTACATGTTCTTACCAATCATCATGTTGCACATAGAAATGTATAATCTATAAAAGTTTGCATATCCATGCAGCACTTGCTGATCCAGCATATGCTTTATAATGCATGCCCCTGGCTCATCATGGCCATGAAGTCTGATCACCTAAAGTGTGGTTAACATACAATGACCATCATTTACAATTTTTCCCACTGACAGCACACAGAAATATTATTATTAATGACAAAAATAAAACTGTGATTCACAAAAGCAATAAAGGTAATGAAGTCAGGGTAGATGAGCTGAGGTGGCAATATTTCATTTATCTTCTTTGCCCTGGCTGCTGAGGTTTGATTACTACAGCCTGTGGTACAACGCTGGATAATTAAACACGCGCACACACACACACACACACACACACACACACACACACACACACGTGCAAATGGCAACTGGGTCAGACATTGCCCTACATTGTTGTAGAGACTCAGGAAGAGCAGATGAGTGTGAAAATCAAATAAGAGGCTAAGGAGCAGGCTACAAAAGACTGAGACAGATGTTGTGGTACAACCACCATTGAACTAGACACAATAATGAGCTTGCCCATAAAGTGTTTCACAGTAAGCAGATGTCTTAAACTACACTCCAGTTACACATCATTACGGAAATGAAGACAGAGACGCTCCAGTTAAGGCAGAAATGCGAATGAGAAATGGAAATACCGTCTGCTCAAACTGTGCAGCCTGTACACGGATACCCAGGAGGCAAAATCAGGGTTCATTCAGCTTGAGCCAGATGCAAAAAGTTACTTATAATGACATATTTTGAATCAACTATGCTGAGTAGCAACAACAGCGACTAAGATTAAGCCTTAATTTCCAATTTCCCCTGATGATATTGGTTAAGGAACCTAACCACCATTAAGTCAGGATGCTCTTATATTGAGAGAAATGTTGCTCCAGTCTTTTTCTTGTTTTCAAGTGTTGATCTATCTCAGGGAATACAACACATATATTTCATATTTTTGCAATGTCTTTTCATTATAGTCTGATCAAATTAATCAAAGAGGATGCTTAGGAAAACTGATATGTGAAAATCAAGTCATGATGACCTAGGTGACTAAAAACCTACACCAATTTATTGTCGGTTTTTGTTTCTAGCTTACTCTATATATCTGTTCAAGCATTCTGTAAAAGGACTATTTGATGGTTCTCATTGCTTTTCTCTTCTGGACAGTTATATATATAAACATAAGCACATAAATAAAAATAGTATATTCGGACTAAATATCAGCTAGTCTTATCTGGTTACCAAAACTTGGTCAGATAAAAACAGGACAATATCTGACTTGTATTTCCTGCCTTGTTGCTGGCAGACTAAAAAAAGGTGCAGCCTCATCAGATATTCTCATGATGATGTGCAATTCAGGAACAGACTAATTGGTCAGTCAGCAAGAAAAGCAAAAGTTAAATCAGTTTTTGGATACATGATCGTGTTTCAGATTGTTTCGTAGACTAAACGTCTGTGATTCAGCCTGTCAGGGCTGTGCCTTTCACATGTCGCTTGGTCCGATGCTCTGACATAAACCCAGATGCAAAGGCTGGGTTCGATTTGCATTTCTAGACGCGCTTAGTATGAAATGATCTTGCGCCACGAAAGGTATCAAGAGAAGAAAAACCAAAATATATTCCTCGTTTTCCCGCATTTTGGAAAACAGTGGAAACAGAAAGGAAACTAGAAAGAAAATACTGGATTGAAAACTACAGCGACGACAGACAAAATACCACTTTTTTTTTCCATTTTAAAGTGCGGTGCGACCAGCAGAGTGGAACGGCGCAACTCCTCTCCAACTTCACGGAGGACCCGCCGCTTCCCAGCGTGGTCACCTGCTAAAAAACTGCCCATTACGGCCACTCATGTCCATCAAACCCCGGGATGGGAACGGACAGAGTTGAGATGAAATACTCTGTCATAAATGGGTCTCGGATGACCATCGGTGAATGAATGAATCGACCTCTCCGCCCAACTCTCACACCCACGTAACTGTGCAGCCTACACACCCCGGCACGAACGGCTCATTAAATAATCAAGCCCTGCACTCGTGTCTGCACAATTAGCCCCCCTTCAGAGAGCAGACAGTCTGGGAAGCTTTGGGCTTCTCCTCGAAATCAGATTACAAAGGCTGTACTTACATGAGCTGTGTGGGGAACTGCGATGCTACACAGCCCCCCTGCCACAGCAGGAGAACAAACACCCAGGCTCGTACCCTGCAGGTATCCATTGTAAGAAGGGGGGTGGGGGGGAAATTCCCCGACGTGCGTCAGTATCCAATCTGCTCCGCGCCCCGCCGCCGATGAGTGGAGCGACGTGTGCGCGGTCTGTCGCTCCCACACAGATTAACGAACCCTGACACTCCTAATCTGATCAGCCGGCCATCCAGCGCTCTAACAGGTAGGCTGCTGGGGCTGGCTATTTCAGACTCCCTGTCTCTCTCACCCTCCCCAGCTGTCCCCGCTCTTTTCGTCTGGTGGTGGTGGTGGTGGTGAGGAGGGGGGGGGTGGAGGCAGGAAAGGAATATTGGCAAATCATCATTTCACCTTCTGCAATTTTGACTTCTCCCTCAATGGAAGTTCTGTTGAAATTTTTACAGCTGTACAATATCAGGTGTACTTGTCAATAAATGTTATATTCTTTGTGATTATTCCTTTATCTATACCCTCAATTCCTTGTAGGTGAAAAACCTACTTGGCAATAAACCTAATTTTGATTCTGATGAAGTGTAAAATAGCATTCAGTGTTGACTTGTGAGTAACAAATTGTTTTTTTCTTACTTATGAAGTAACACCTGCAACGAGGAGGGTCTGACAACCACCCACGCAGCACACGCATGCTGAATACAGATTCAGGGTTTACCTCCCACAATATTCTAATCCATTCAACCTGGAGAAAGGGGACGTATAGACGGAAGCCTTTGCCGGTCCATGGATAATAGAGAAGCTGCAAGCAAGGCTGTCCCACATGAGAATGACTTCTAGAGTGACAGATGTATTGATTTCACACATTCAGTGGAAAATCTTATGAGAAAAACAGAGCAATAACCCACCGAATCTCGGTGCCATCCATCATATGTTTTATGAGATTGAATTTGTTACTGTGTGCTCAATACGAATGGGGAAAAAACCCATTATGGGATATATTTGATCTCATGCTCAGCTGCCTACGACAATATCAAAGTTTCTGTTCAAATTCTAAATCACGGATCGTTAGACATACCAAAGAAATCTAAATATTTCAACAAAGATGCTAAAACATGAAACTACTCAATGAATTTGTCAGTATGTGTGTTTGTGTCAAATTCAGGCCTGGAGGGAGGGCAGGGCAGCACGAGCAGGATGCTTGGGGATTTGGTTATCAATCGTTGCTTGGCAACCACACACCATCTCTCTTGTCCTCTCACCCTGCCCTCCTCCCTCCCCCCATTCTCTCTTTGTCTCTCCCTCTCCACCTATCCTATGCTATAACTGCACTGCTCTGTTGCTCTTCCCCTTTTAGGTGCTTCTCAGTCCTCATCTTCTCGCTCCCTGACACATCACCCACTCCACATTTTCTCTCGCAACACCTCCCTCACACTCATTTCCCCCAGCAAAAGGAACAGATGCACCTGCTGATGGGATAAGAGAAAAAAAATGAATGGTGAGAACTGGAGGAGTTGCAGAGTGAGGGGAACATACTGTAATAGAAAAAAGTGAGGACCGAGCAGTGGAGATCTCCTAATTCAACACTTTTTTTTTCATCAATAATTCTAAGCATCTCAAACAACACCTCTGATAGGATGGTGTGTCAGAGCTTTTCTCCACTGCTACTCACCTTCTCACTTGAATAGAACCCAGCATCTGTCTCCCAGATGCTGACACACTGCATATCTGTGTCTGCATCCCTTTTTAGAGTATTCTGGAGAGTATATTATTATGAACTGAAATCATGCAAGATAAGAGCAAAACAATCACACATTTTCTCTTTACATTTATCACATTTATAGCCTTTTTTGTTTGGAAAAAAAATGTGATGTCCCAAACCACACAAATTGAAGAATATAAATATTAAAGAAAAGAACGCCATTAAGGGTTGGAATGATTTCTGTTAGTACAGAAGAGAGCAAAGCACGGAGACATGTCTGATGATGATCAAATACTTATCTGAATATAGGGTTCTTTAAAAATCTATTTTACTTTTCCTTTTGAATTTTTCTTTGTTTTGACAGGAAACACTGCCATCTGGAGTTAAAGCTTTATTATTACAAGAATAGAGAAATATACTATATATACATGGCGTACATTAAGACATGCAAGTAAAGCCCTCATCAATATATTAACCACTAATAAAAAATAAAAACAAATGGCGCATCAAGTCTAAACAGCATTTTTAAACATTAAAATCTCCTAAACTGCACCCCAAGACTGCTGTTGAGTGTATGGCTATCTTATTTGCAAAACAAAATTCCTACCACTGAACAAACTAGGACAGTTTTTTTTTCTTCCAGAAGCTGGGCAGTTTGATTAAACAAAACACACTGATCCATTTTTGGCTGTGCCCAGAGATGAGGCACACTCATCGGGCCTGGACTCCTTGCCAGGCCATTGCAGGGTTAGCACAGAACTGTGAAACCATGTGCACAAACAATAAGAATGACAGCCAATTTAGCATTACATGCAGGGAAAAGCCAGGTTTGAGTTTATTTGTCAAAAGGTCAGTAGCATTTCCGAATAAAACATTTGCTTTTTAGACGTCATCTTTCAGAAAAGATGAGCAGATTTGAATCAGTCTGTTAACCACTGTGTCTAAAAACTGCATGACAATCAATGCATGGGCAGAATAACTGTTCCACAAATGCAGGTTTTATCACAAATAAGTCATGTCTGAACATGATCCAAGTATGTTGATTTTTTTTTTCTGGACTGAAGCTAATATAAAAAATTGACTGAGAAAAAGTGGTAAAACTACATGACTGTGGTGAGACAAACTGATTCGGAAATTCTCTGTCAAATCAGGGAGGCCATAAAGATGAGAGAGACTTTGCTACCAGACTTCAGATAAAAAGCCTGTCTCTCTGATGGTATAAGGGTGCATTAGTGCATGTGGAAGTGGCAACTTTCACATCTGGAATTTTGCTATCAGTGCTAAAAATATATATCCAAGATTCAAAGGTGCTCAAGCTCCAATACAGATGATGCCTTTCTCGGGGATTACCTTTCTGGTGTGAGGTGTGTACTGAGCATTCGAAAGCCTCTGGTTTATTGTTACATATTTATCCTCAGACAGAAGTACGTGGCACTGATACTGTTTCCCCTCAAAGCCTGATGTGAGACTGTTGGAATATGGAACCTCTTTGCTATATAATTTTACTGGGTCATGCCAATATTACTCTGTCTCAGGTATTAGCTAACTAATGCTGATAGATATGATCTTTGCAAGTTTTTTTAAAAGTATATTTTGCATTCTGAATTTGTCACAATGTAAAAATAAAGATGGGGCTTTAAGATCATCTACATCTTCAGATGTAAACAAAATTCACCTCTGACTTGAATCAGCGTCAGATTGTCCATCTCTTCTGATTACAGCTCTATACACCCATTTCTGATTCATTACAGTTCTTTAGCTTTAGCCTAGTAAATCAAACATTCAATTGTTTTATTTATATTTAGAGCTGATTATTTGAGACCAAAATTTCACACCCACAAAATTATTAGCATCATACACTATCAGTGAAGGAACTACAGTGATTTGGCACAAAGTGCTCAGTGTGGACTGGCTCAACGAGACATGAGTGACTATTTACAGCAGAACAAAGCAGCGTCTACAGGGAGACGAGGGTCAAAAATAAATGGCGCTTTCCGTTAAAAAGAAAGGAATGATAAAAAATGAGCTTTTAAAGCAATAAAGAAACAAGGATGACACAGAGAAAGTAGTCATTAAGTCTGGCCTATTTGTTGTCCTGTCAAAATCTTCAGAATTCAGTTACAATATTAAAAACAGAGCAAACTTCACATTTGGAATATAACTCTTAATATTTATTCTTTTGAGTCAGGGGAAATGCCTATTCATGTATTTATTTTCTTTTTACAGCACAATTTGCATATCTCAACACATCCTGTGTACAACCACAAAACCATGACATAATATGCTTTGTTTTTGCACAGTGAGTGAAAAACAAGACAATTTTACAAGCATATTTCTTTACACTCAGCATACAGATAAATCTATACATGTTCTCTCTTTTTAAACATAATCTTTAGGCAAAAATATACAGACAAACCATCAACAAAACATGCAACATCCAAAACATAAAGTTTCAGATAACTATTGAAGTTTTTTTTCCCTTTGTGTGGTTTTAGCAGGTTAAAGGACATAGTTGCACGATTAGTAATTTATGGACAGCACTTGTTTTGATTACGCTCTTAACTCCCCTACTATAGACACGCATTGCTGTACAGTTGTAAGTCTTTTGTATTCTGTTTTTTTCAACACTCACATGCTCAAACCTTGGACAATATAAACATTCAATCATTGTAGAAAATAAACACTTTATGTACACGTCAGACAACTCGAGTCACATTCACACCCCTCAGTACGACAACAAATGGCGTCACAATTACAGGCATTACTGATCTAAACAAACAGTATTTAGCTTGAGGGAAGTCTAATGGAACACGAAGGGGAAAACAGGCATGACAGAGCATTGAGATAATGTCTTATTTACGGTACGGTTTGCACACACTGCCAGGTACACTACGAGCATGATGGAGTTGAGGATGGTTTCCTTTAAGATTGTGCATAATGTTTAGGAACCCCAACATGTTGGTATGCTTTTCCCCTGTCACATTGATACAAAATGCACACAACAATATTTTCTTTGACCATACATAGACACCATGACTCAGTTTGTTTCAGTGCAGAAACACAAACCACATCACCTTGCATGTCATGATGATTAAAATGACACAACAAAATAATCATGGTATTAAAGTGCACAAGCTCCATGTGCATGTTAACAGCTGTTAACATTAGAATACATATGTATATATATATATGCATATGTATATATATATATATAATCTTAAAATAAATAACAAATAATACAATTTATTATTTTCTATCTCACCAATGTACAAATAAAAGATACTTTTTTATAAGACTTTAAGACAATATTTTCACATATCAAACATTTAGTTTCAATAACAAATGCATTCAAATACATATGTTGCATAGAATTACTTTTAAACAACAAATGGTGTCAGGAGTGTAGAGTAAGAAATAAAATAATGCAAAACAAATAAGAATTCCAAACTAAATTGATATTGGCACAGAAAAATAATCATCATCATCCAAATGGTCCCTTCTTCACTTCATTCATTTTTTTCTTTTCCAGATTTATCTAAGTGACATCTTGCTCCATGTGTATTCGTTAGTTGGAAAATGCTTCAGCCCTGTAATATGCCTAAATACTCTGGTTATGGTTCTGAGAGTATTTGTTTTTCTTCATTTTATCATTTTTTAAACACGGTGGCAAACTGTGATGACTACCTGCATACACATTAGTAATGAGACAGGCCCCATGTGTCCTTCTGATTTGACATGAAAGAACCAAAGTGGGCCTGAGAGTAAATTCTGATCACAGGCAGTGAAAGATGCTGGTTCACTGTGTTTAATAACAGGAAAGACTTTTAGAGTTGGACAGCACAGCCAGACACACACAAAAGAACCTTAACATCAGACTTGAGTGTTCTCTACCATATTTGAACTCAAATCCGGGTAAACTTGGATCATAGACATTTTTTTAACACAGAGACAGCAGAGCTGCCACATATGAACATATGGTTTTGACACGGCTTATGTGAATTACAGACCAATACCAATAACGTGATAACATGAACAGACTTACATAACGATTTTTTTGCCCCTACAACAGCCTTAACATAAGCTATTGCACACATGACACGAGTGAAACCTTTTCCATCCTCAACACGCGTATATGAACATTCAACACAGCGTTTGCTTTGGGTTTTAGGGCACAATATGCTGTTCATTTTTATCAAAATTCTAATTCGCACTACAATACGATTCTAGTGAAATTAAACCTAGCTACAGGATGTTGATGTGGCCCATGATCACACACCTGTCAAACACTTTGTGGATTGTGTGATCAGAAGCCCGGGGGATCTATCGGACATGATTAGGACCAACCATAAACTCAAATAGGTCCACATTCACCTCACAGCTGTAAGGGCTGCTCACGTCTCATATTACTGGATTGTCAGTGCGCCACCTGCAGCCTCAATCTAGCAAGAAGTGTAGTTAATCTATTTTCATATATCATGTATTGACAAGAGAACAAGTCTAATACACTATACTGAATCTATATTCATTATGCAACTGATAGAATTCTATGTTACATAAATATGACACTGTACAATTCTCTGATATGCTTGATAATCTGCATGTGATTTGGATCTGATCTAGAAGTCAGAAGTCCAGTACACTTAATCTCCATCCCCCTGCAAAGGTCAACAGTCTGAGTTCTACATAGGCTTTGTGTGTTTTCTTTGAAACATAAATGGAAAGACTATCATACACACATTGTTACGCATTCCGTCATCCTGTAACACCTCACCACTGATGTCAACACACATCACCACAGTGAATTTCAAAGTAATGATATATAACAGTTTCAGAAATGATTTTTTCTGTCAGTCTTTCCCTTTCTTTGATAAAGCTTAGTCATGCAACATCCAAACAATAGCCTTAATTGGTTTGGGACATTTTAACCATGGTAATAAAGACATCACTGCTATTATGGCCATTTTGCTGTGGAGAACTTATCAGTACATGCCTCTCTTTTTGCTTTTTTGCAATAAATCAAAGTCCACAGTCTGCTGAGGACTGATAGGGAAGAGGTGGGCATGTGTGCTGGCAGTGTTGGACTGATACATTTGCAATTTTATTTTCACATTATTCCCTTCTTTTCATGACTTGCAAGCTGAGGAAATAAATTAAATGAATATCTTTATCACTTCTTGTTCTTTCTCTTGAAATCCTTTGTTTGCTCACAATCTGCATTCACCTTCCACCAGTCAGCAGCATTTAGCATTTTTATGACACGATCCTCAGGGGTTGGTCTGAGTGGAGCTGACAAACAGTTTGTGCCAGCTTACCACTCTTTTCCTCATGTCCACCTTATCAAGCCAGATGTAGGCTTCACCTATTAGAGTCTTCTTTACAAACTTCCCTCCATTCGACACCAAGAATAACTAAAAGTACAAAACAAACCGTAAATTTATCATGTCATTACATTCACCACATACTTTTGCAACACCACCGTGCAGCCAAAAAATGAATACCATTGAAATACGCACACTGGCAGAATTACTGATATTTGCTCATCAAGCCTATTTGAATATAACATTAAACTGGCCTGACCTGTATGGAGTGTCCAGTGGGGTTGAGCTGGAATCTGAACGTCTCATTGAAAGAAGGTTCCCGGTCATGTCTACAAACTCTGGTCTTCTTCTTGATGATCCGTTTCTGGGTGGCCACATTCACCACATACAACTTCACATACAGGTCTTGGTGGGCAGAAAGAAGACAAACATATTGAAATGAAAGTCGTAAAGCTGAGTGCAACCATGCAAAAAGCTAAGTCGCACGGTGCATGTCGATAAATTCACATGATATCCAGACCTGGTAGGTGATCCGGGCTTTTGAACTTGTAAGTGATGTTTCTGCACTGAAGGATCTCCAAAACCAGTTGGTCGCCTTCTGTTTTCACCTCCTTCTTAAGAGCAACCTTGATCTCCCCCATAATTTGTGTCTTTCCACCTAACGAGAAAAATTAATTAATTAATGAGCCATTTTAGCTTACGGGCAATTTTAATATTTTCTTTTTTTTTTTTTTTAACTCTGATAACACCTTGCACTTACTACCTTTTGGTGGATTCATCTGTTGCACTGAAGACCACATATCCTTAAAGCAACTAAATATTATCCACGTTATTTAATAATTTCACATCCCTAAACCTGATCCTTGCAAAGTGTGTGGAACCAGGTCAGGGCATGTGTCTGAGGTTTCACAAGAAGCTTAGAAATTGTAAGGTGTCTCTGGAGCTAATTACATTCAAGAGTTAAACAAGACAAGCTGAGTGAAATGTGGTAAATGAGTCGTCAGGCTCCATGGAAATGACCTCCTGACCCTCATGTGTGTAACAGCTGCCACGCTATAGCCTTAAATGACCCTGAGCTCTTTGTTACAGCATGAAATGAGATATGAAGGGGAGGCATCTGACATCTGAGCTACATGTGATGTAGTAATAATCACGTAGTATAGTGTGTCATCCATTTATCTTCCACTATTCCAAGCCATTTATTAGGTAATTATCCGGAGTGTACAATTAGCACTTAAACGAACATTCACCACTGCAATTCATTATAAAGACGCAGCTTGAAGTGCTCAGGAAAACGTGTATGTAAGAAAACGGTGCAGTTAGACACACAGGCCAGCAGAGGAAGCTCTACAACAACAGAAAAAAAAACAGACAACAGGGGCTTGCCTTCATTTTCTGGGGTGATTTGTTGATTTTTGTCAGTGCCGTTGGGAATAGTTTTACCACTGCAAGTAAATAGAAGAATAGATCAATATTAGCTGAATTTTATTCACAAAAAAGTGAAGGTTAATTAACTTTTAGCTACATTGTAGTGGATATGGAGACCAAATTATTCTTACATGCGTGGCACTTGGAAAATGGCACTGTCCACTCCAGTGCCAACACCTTCTCCATCAAGATCTCCATAGGTATCTCCAACCAGGCTCGGGGCAGAGAGCACCACTGACCCTGACACATCTCCCAGTCGGTGTCCTGGTCCTGTGGGTGGCAAGATCGAAAGTGACATATGTCTGTCTGACTTTCTGACTGTTTGTCTGTCTGTCTCTGTCTTTCAGAAACACCGTATTAGTTTCCAGTGGTATTAGGAATTGATTTGACAATTTTATTGCCAAATCTACTGACAGGTGACCTCTTGACTTCTCGTACCACAATTACAGCTCACACCCTCTGCTGATGGTCTTATGGTTGATGGTCTTAGAGATGCAGCTGTTGTTCACTGTTTCTAGGGTAAGGCTGTAGACAGAGTGCGGCAAAGGGTTTGCTGTTTAATTGGAAAAGACAAGTCTGTCTCATTTTTTAAAACCAAAAGGGCTATCCTTATACAGAGAACCTAATATTATAATCCATCCATCCATTTTCTATGTCCCAAAAGGTTCATGAAGGACTGCAACCTTTCCCAACTGTCACTGGGTGCACACTACACATGCTACTAGTCCGTAAAAGGGCCACACAGAAACAAACAACCATGCAGAGTCACATTCACCCTTATGGCCAATTAAGAGTTTGCCATTTACTTAACATGCATATTTATGTATGGTTGAAGGAAGCCAGAGTACCCAACATGCAAACTGAAAGGGTCTAAGCAGGAAATCTACTGGTGTGAGATGATGGTGCTGTTATTATTAATATTTATATTAATATAATCATTATTGATTATTGTTGTTGTTACCATCATTTGTGGTAGTAGTAGTGTTATTAGCAGTATTACCTGAATATTCACACACAATTTCATCACAAAGCTTCGCATTAATGTCGATGACTGTGTATCCTCACATGCATAGGATGTATAGAGTATGAATCTATCCCAGCTGTCACTGGGTGAGAGGTGAGATACATCCAAGTCAGATCACCAGTCCATCACAGAGCAACTCTTAGACTAACCAGACAAACAACCTTGCACGCTCACACTCCTAAAGTCAATTTGGAGTCACCAGTTAATTTACCAAGCATTTTTTTGGACTGTCGGATAAAGCCCAAAGACAGAAATAATTCTAATGCATACACAGGAAGAACAACTTGTACCAACTTATGTATGAAAGTACACAGGATAACTGCTTTAACTAATGAACAGAATATATTTATCAGGTACATTTTTCCTATTTGGCCTCACCTTCCTTTGACACTTCTGCTCTTCTCATGGTTAGCCGAAAGCATTACTCTCGTTGGCCGATGAGTGCAGAGTGAGATTCCAGATGCTTTTGAACCTTCTTGGTGTATCTGTGTTTCTCGGTTTAACTTGGTCATTCTCACATTTTTGCCCCCTTTGTTTGAGGTAGCAGGAATGGGAAGGGAATGGGGAGGATGGGAAACTGTCTACGATACCTATGTGTGTCGTATGTGTCTTTTGGGACGTTTTTAAGGGTACATTCATTTGTAACACATGCACATACCAAGCAGTATTTTAGGAAAACAGACTAGTGAGGGAGTCATGCTTATTTAGCTCCATCTGGGCTAACTTTTCTCTGAGTTGCATCACAATTTCTGATAATTTAAAGGGCATTGCACTGAGGGAATGCATGAGCAATAATGGATATTTTATCAATCATGTAAACATAGCATGACAAAAGACATGTCAGAGATTGCCATCCCAGCTTGGTTTCTATTCTGGGGCTGGAGAAAATCCACACTGGGGTTCTGTAGAAACCACATGTTTGGGACTGGCACATGCACACTCCTACACTACTTGCAGAAACAGAGGGGCTTAGGACCACTAATTTTGATCTAATTAAACAACTATATACGTGTTTTTTTTCTTTTTTCTTTTCATTTGTTCAGTGTAGGTCATGTAATTCCTCAGCTATATGTATGTCTGCTTAAGATGATATTTAAACATCTAAACTGGTTATCAAAATATTGAAATGATTTTAAATAATCATTGTTTAAAAGGTTTTATTGCGCTGGTTTTATCATATTTTTAAATAAATCAAAAAATTAATGAAAATGAGCAATTTACTGTGGGTTTATACTTTGATTTACCTACAAACCTGTCTTTGCCTACATTAATGATATTGCTCTAGAAAGCTGAAATCTGACTATTAGACTATTTTTTAGTTGAGGTGAGCAGAACACAAAAGTAAAATATTAAGGATATGAATGCAATACAATTTATGTTTTAGCAAATAATCTCAAAACGTTCATGCATAGGGAAAAAGGGGGCATATCATAGGAAGTGTGTTACAGGTAGGGGAAGGAATTACTTGGTTGCAGGCGGGACTGTTGCACCGCAGCTTCTGCGGCGGCAATGGCTATCCCAGCATCCTCAAGGTGGGCCTGAGTGACACTGCTCTTGCTTTGGCTTCGTGAAGGGCCATGGGAACGCAATTGGCCGTCCGAGGAAGACTTTGAACTGCCTGGGCTGCTGTGTGACTTTTCTAGAGGCAACATTTGCATGTCTGAAAGAGCATAGGATAGAGAGTCATGATTATTGAGTAATTTAGCTGAAGATGGTGAGCAAATTGAGTGGAATGACGTGACAGATGGTAAGCATGTGTTCCTCTTAAACTGGACGGTAATAATTATAAAGATAAATATTAAAAATGTGTGTGTGGTATTAAATATTTACCTTTGGCTGGATCAGGGAAGATTCCATGGCTTCTGCTCTTGATCACAGAATTTTTAGGCGAATCCTGACCCCCATCTCTCGGCCCTAGTGCTTGACCCATCCCATGCCCCAGTGAGGAACCAGATAGTTGCCCCTGGCTTTGGATATCTCCCTGACCATAACCCTGACCGGATCCTGACCCTGGGGGAGCTTGAGCAGCATGGTGGGCTCTAGTATGTTCAATGCTTTCACTCTGCTCCTTCAGAGGAAGCCAGCGGGGAGTGTTGTCCAGCTGAGCTGTGTTTGACAAGTCAATCAATACCTGAAAGGCAACAGTTTACACAGAACATGAAAATGACAAGTAACAAATACTTATACCCAAATATAATTAGTGAGCATATTATGCAGTGATAAAAAGGAAAGCTTGTGTGGAAATGAAGAAGAATCATCATCAGTGTCGTATCTTCAACAATGTAAGTTAAAAAAGTTTTGAAAATGTACATGCATACTGAATTTTCAAACAAAACAACTGCAAAAATTGAATAGAAATGTGTTTTCTTGATAGCATACTATTTGTGACATTTTTATACACTGGATTCAGACAGTGGAGGGAACTCACTTCTCCAAGGAAGTCATTAGAGGAAGATCTGTCATAGTCCCACACTGTTACCTCCAGCGTCTTTTTCTTCAACTGGATTTTAAAAAAGGAAGACACACGAGTAGGTTGGAGATTCTGACAAGGAATCATGTGTTCATATACAACAGGGAACACTATGTGTAAACATGTTTGCAGAAACATCAGTAAATGCATATCTCTCGTAGTACATTTAGTCAGAAAAAGGGGTTATTTTTTTCTTACAGTGTGCATACAGGTATTCAGGTATTGTATTTCTTCTAACACAAGATTACACTCATATATTCAGAGTAACCCCTGCTCTGTAGAAGATGAGAAAACATCAACAGGATTACATTCTAACACTTTGTGTGAAAATGTCATGCAGTAAGGCTGCTGAGATAGCGTGAGCAAGAATGTTGGTCATTTATTTGGGACAACTGATAAGAGGTTTCATAGAAGCACTGAAAACAGCCCTGGGGGCAAGGCTTGATAAACGAATCCTAGTTGGATCTCTAACAGGCTAAGACATCCACGTTGCCCAATAGGGGCTCGCAGTAAATTGTGTAAGTGTAAAATTAAAGCTTTGTAAGGGTTGGTTGGTTTGTGTGTCTGAACGGTACCTGCTCCAAATGAATGTTCTTGTAGATTACAGTCTGGTTCCATTCTGGGTTCGTGGTCTTCTGGGCATACTTTGTCCTTCTCTTGTTATCAGCACTGGTAATTCATAACATTGGCAATAAGAGGTTGTCAGTGATACTTAAATATATGTTTATCGTTTGCGATTGAAACACTCAGAAAGTTGATTAAATGCTTTTAAAATGGCCAACACTGTGATGACAAACACTGAAATGCTGTACTATTAATTATTGTCTGTTTCGGCTAAAATGTTTTTTAAACAAATTTAAATGTTAACTCAGAATTTAAGCTAAAGAGAGCACAATGTTGGAGGCATGAAGTGTAAAATGAAGTGGTAGGAGTGTTCTCAAACACTGTGAAAAACACATTTGAGTGGACGAACAACAAAGGCCACAACAAAAGGATAGAAAGCACTCTGGAGACATTATTTACAACGGGAAAAAAAGAGAGAAAATGTCACACAAAATAAAAGCAAAAATCAGCACCACGCTACCTTGCATTCTGGACAACCATGACTTGGCTGAGGGAGTCCAGAAGAGGAGAAGGAGGGCAGATATCACAAACAAGAAAAGCAAAACAGTCAGAGAGCTAAATTAAAAAGGCAGTAAAGGATAGAGAGCTGAGGCAATCAGTATTTCCTGAAGCACGTATTGTGTGTCTTTTGCCCAAATAAGAGATGTGACAGAGGAGCAAGAAGAACCCAAAATTGATCCAGGTTGTTGTTGGGATAATGAAGATGTGCTCTCATTTACTTATATAAAAAAAGTGTTTCAAAATACTCCTTTATAAAAAAGATGAGTAAAAGTGCTCTCAAAGAGCTTTCCAATACAGTATGTGGAGGTGCAGTGAGAGCATAATCTTATAAACGGACCAGATAGGGCCATTATCTAAGAACAGATAATGTTACAAGGTAGACAAATGCTGTATTGATCCTTCCTCTTGCTATTCACAGGCTCTAGGAAAGATATATAAACAAACAGGAATAAGACGAGGAAGTCTGACTCTTTGTGCAGGATACAAAAATACCCACTTGAGTCAAAACTCGAGAAATTAAAGTGGCATTATAGCAGTAGGGCAAAAAATCTCCACTCAAAGTCTTGTATGAAGTAAAAAAAATCCCAACAAATGAATCATAGCGCCAGAATTAAATTAAATAAAATTAAATCGTGTTCAAATGACTGCCTCATATCATCATGTCCTGTGTTATTCTCTCATACAAAACAATGGTTAGTCAGTGCTAGATGGCACAGTCAATATAAATTCAGAAAAAAAATGGGGGAGAGAAAACAAGACGGACACAAAAGCTGAGAGGCAGACAGACATCAGTGAAGACTCAGACAGCTGCACAGCTCACCCTCTCCCTGGTAAAAGGTAGACTTTCACAAAAGGGTCAGAGTAGCCATCATTGTCCCTGGGGACCAGGTTTCTGGCTTGAAGGACGTGGACGATCAGGTTTCCTAGGTTCCTGTCATAGTTGATCTGGAGCTGTGGGGAAATCAGTGGAGAGGAAGATTTAAAAGGGGAAACCAAAATACAGAGTTGAATTTTCATTTTATTTCTTCTTATCAGAAGGCAAAGATGCTGCTGGTATTTTTATTTTTTTATTTTTGATGTGTTCCCTACCTGAATTTCTCCAGTGATGGGATGAGGAGCCTTCGTTATCTCTGTTTGCTATAAAAGGGAAAACAAAGGATAAGATGGTGGGAAAAGTGTTAAGTGGTGACATGTCTTGTTCAAATGATAACCAAATAAACATAGACTGGAAGTTTTAAATCAGCAAGTGGTTGGGGAGTAGACATTTTCAGCCAACGTTTGTCCTGTCTAAGATTTTTCATTGGATCTATGATCGACAGCGTAGATTTAACTATCTGCACTGTGTAGTCTGTCAAATGTAAGAAAAGCACACAGTTCTGTGACATAAACTTGTACATTAAATCCCCACAAACCGTCTCATATTTTATTGTAGGCATCCTAAACGTTTCTGTAGAGAAGAATTTATGCAGATTTTTGCACATTTTTTATGACACTTGTTTTCAGGGGCAAACACTGCAGAACACTATTTTCTAGTTCCACCACAATTCCCCTTTCACTCTTTGATGAACACAGTCACACCATTTGACCTTCGAATGCTCCCGTGTTCAGTTGTTTGATGTAATGCTAATCGAATCGCAGGAACCAAAGTGCATGATAAATCACACAAAGCTCTCAGGCTGCATTTGAACACTTTCAGTTTAACAGACCCATGGTAATCGTCTAACAGGGGTATTTAGAAGATTTATGCCACTTCTCAGCCTTAGATATATGAACCTTATGTTCCTTGGTATAGTCACATCTTGGCTGTTGTGCTATGCTTGAAAAGAGGTTTTTCAAAGCCAAATTAACTACCTTTTGTCGTTGTTTCTTGTTGATGGCAGGGGATGCTGGCTGGCCTGGACTTGGGACCCCACTGGAAGCAGCTGACCCAGGACCTGAGTGAAGGAGGGCAGAGCGCTCCAATGCAGAGAGGACACCTAAGCTCCCTTGTCCTGTCCCCGTCATGCCGGGTCCTTGCTGCTGGGACACTTTCTGCAGCTCTGCAGCCAACTGCTTTGGATCCACTCCAGGAGAGCGCTGCCCACCTACTTAGATCAATGTGTATAATAATCCATGTTGTTTGCATGCAAAGTATGCACAGTAATGCATTCATACAAGCAGATGTACAAACAAATCCTTGCACATACCAGCCTTGAGTTGCACATGTTGCTCCAGGGCTTGTGGACGCTCAGGGTCAGACAGCATATTAAGGTCACTGTTTGGAAATGTATGATGGAATTACAATCTGTCCAATCTTCTAATTTGTAATCAGTTAGAGAGGAATATTTGACCAATGAAGGAACATGGTATAGCTCAGAGGAACAAGAGGGAGTGGTGAATGGTATCATGGGTGTGAAGCCACCATATTGCCAAACAACAGCTAAACATGTAAGAGTTTCAGTGAGACAGAGAGATAAATAATGACAGATGTTACTCACAGTCTAACACAGAGCTCTGCCTCTGCACATGGCTGCCCCATGATGCATTGCACTTCTTCGTATGTCTTTCCTGTTAGAGGGATACCATTCCATTCCAACACTTGCATTCCTGTGACATAAAAGGCAGGCAAAAAGGCCATGAAGGTTTTATTAGTATACCAGCCCTCAGTCAGACATAATCCACATGGAAACTAAAATGAACTGAGAAAAAAATAGCCTGTTATTAGTTCGGTTCAAACTCACTATTCAGCTGCATGAAAAAATAGTTTGGTGGTTTGTATAAATGATTTGGGTCAGAAACCTAGATTTCCGATTTGACTTCATTTCAATAGGCAAATCATGGGCTGTACTTTCAATAAAGGGTTGAGTCAATAATGTGGTATTCAAAGGCCGTATCCTTATGCATGTGTCTGTGCTCGTTTCGATTATCCCTCCTGCTCTTTCTTTATAATCTGTGGCCCTCCATAATTTATTCAACACAGCACCTAAAGGCATGTTTATCAGCTATACTTTTCCAGTGTGATATAAACAGCTCATTTGCATTTTGGCAACTCTGTACATGTCAGAGAGTAACCCAGCAAGCGCCACCATTTTACCTATTGGTACAACAAATAATGTGATAAAAATGGATCAGTCTAAATTTCTTTAAATTTGATCTTTAATACAAACCAAACAAAAAGAAAAATACATCTTAACCGGAAGACAAGTATCATGCAGTCCTCATAATCCCCTGAGAAAAGAATATAATGATAAATATACTCTTACACAAATGTGCATCTCTGTGTCAGTTATCAGATTGTGAGGGTAAATAATTTTTTTACTTCTAGTAATTTTGAATCCAAACTGAGCCAGGACATTTGTTGTGTTTTCATTTAGCTGTGGCTGCTGTTGTTAATTCCGGCGTTTATAATAATGCTACTTTAGTGTTTATAATGATGCTTATTTTAGTGAACCACGAGCACAGCTACCAATGTGGAGGATGATTTTTCTATTTGAATAAGCTGGGCCAGCTTTTGTGATTCCATGAACAGTTTTCACGCACAATTAGTGTATCTAATAAAAAAAAAAAATCTGTGGTACTTTTTTATGGTTTTGTGTGTGCGCAAAAGCTATAAACACCTTTCCTGAATAATGTTTTGCATGTGAGCATTTAAGTTAGCAGATCCTTAGCTTCTATAGAGGAACAAACTATATTTATTAGAAAATTAACATATTTAAAACTGTTTCGAAAGACTTGTCTTCATTTTAGCCAAAGTTTTTTTTTACTCTTAAATTAGCAAATAAGATGTCCTCACTTCTTTTTTATTTTCGAAGACTTTAATGCCAAAATGATGGCACATTCTTAAGTTATCTTAATTAGTTTCTGATATTTTCTTCTTATTTTTACCATGTTTCTTTCTCTTGTTATATTATACATTTTGTTTACTCTATTAAGCCACACTTGTACAGGTTAAATACTAGTATTTAATGTACACTGGACAAAGTCTAATGATGATTTAATGCCAGGCTACTCAGGGTATAAAGTTGTTAATGATCCTCCTCTTACCCTCCATAACTTTTCCTGTCTGTTCTGCCACACCCCCAGGGTTAACTTTGGCAATATAAGCTCCAATCTCTCCTCGGGTTCCCGGGATCTCTTTTCCACCTACAACACGGATCCCAAGTCCATTCCCTGTAGTAAAACATCCAAGTTCCAATGAAACATCTCAAAAATTAGGAAACATTTTGTCCTCATAATTTTCAGGGTGTCTGCATGTTTTGTCTTTGTGTTGGACCTGAGATGCTGGGGTCTTTCATGTCTTTCTTAAGCTTGATACGAGTGTTGGGGAAGGCATAGGGAGCCAGTTTCATCTGAGGAAGATTTCATAGGATTTGCATGATCAGAGAAGGGTTTATAAAGAAATATTAAAGACGGTGATCATGAATGAAGGTCAAAGTTTTTGCTTGGACTATACCTGTCTTCGATTTGACATGTGTCCGCTTTGAGGATGCCCGTCTCTTGGCTTATCAAACCAATCTGTGTCTTCTCTCCGCAGGTGGTAGGCTTGAAAAGAAGAGGGATTTGTTAATAATAGCGCACAAAAAAGAACTGTTTGGAAAATAGTTTCCAGTGAAGATCACCATTTTCTTTCCCCATAAAACCCCCATTTGCCAAAATGCAGGAAGATCTCTGATCTATCTTAACCAGAAGATATGTGAAAGTGCACAAATATCAACTCTGTGCCACCCTATCAGTAACATGTGTTTAATCAAAGTATTTCTGCAAACAGGGAAGGGTCTCTCATTTTCAACTTTACAGCACTGAAAATCATTACTGGCATAACTTAAGTACATTTTTTTTGTTCTTCTTTATTTGTCCACATTTTCATGTTTTCTAAGTACACATGTTAATGTCAGGCATCATATTTTCTGTTTTGTTTTATGACAAGTAAACAAGATTATCCAAAATGAAAGTGGTTACACCATATTGAATTGATTTTGTTTCACTATGATCTATATAATTTTGAGGTGTCTCTTTATTTACAAAATCTTTGCATATTGTAAGTAAAATTTCTGAGTCCCAACAAAAATAATTTTAGACAGTTTGGTAAGTGAAGTAATAATTGACAAACCATATATGGAACACTATATGTTCACTTTCCAAGTATACTCAGAACATAGTTCACGTGGTTTAAATTAGCATACCTGAAAAATATCTTTATAAAGTATGATCAGAGATCCTATTCCACAAAGAAGGTGCGCCAGTAATGATGAAGGGAAATGGACTGCTGCATGTCTTGAGGTAAAAAGCAGTGAGCAGCGCTACTGACCTGTTTTTATGATAACACTTATCCACAGTGTACGCATGATTTCTTTTCATTGCATGAACATGAATTCTTGAAATGGGTCTGATATGCTTACAGAACCACAGAGCAAACATTGCTGAATGGTGTATAACTGGATCCACTATGGTTCATTCCAGGATGGGACAAACATGTCAGCTACTAGAGATATGCTGCAGAGATGCGGTTCATTCAAGAATGAGTCTGATATGTTTACAGAATCATCCAGAGAAGTGGACTGTTCACGACCATGATGTGCGGCATGGAGGCGTACACTCTCTATGCAACTACATGAAACTGAAATGTGGGCTCACCTTCTATATTCCAGTTTGGGCCTCCGGCTGGGGTACAGAGTTACATGCTTTTTTCAGAAATATGTTCAACATATGTTCATTTTTTCAAAAACTGTATAAAGTACCCTAACTCTAGATTTAAAGAGTACACTTAAGCACATGCACTGAAAGCAATAGCCAATAACATGCATGCTTGAATTTACAGCAAGCAGGCTTTTCTCTGACAACAAAATTTAAGCACAGGCACTATATATAAAAAACAAAAACAGAATCCTATTTTGAAATAAAAAAAAACATGAAATATAGCAAAACTGAGCCATTGTAATTTGATAGGCATTGTAATTTCAATCTGCTTAACTAGTATTGTAAAATACTCTACCGTGTCTGATACTTTCATGAAAAATTATGGCATCATCTCTGTTGAAAGCCAGCATGGACTCACTTAGAGCTGTAATCAAGGCAGATGGACACTGTAACGTGGTGTCAGGACAAATATGACCTTTTCAAGAATTTATGTATACTGGTCCTTTGAAGATTCTCAAGTTTTGGAAAGAAAGCTTGAGTTATGAAATACACTTGCTTGGTTCTAAACATGTCTTACAATAAATGCAGAAGACATTGCACCTTCAAAAACTTCACCCAAACTAAGTGTATTGTGCAGACCTTCCGCAGTCATTTTTTTTAATAATTCAACCAAAATCCTCTGAAGATAAAATTGCCATGGATTTATCTCATCTATTGCAACACTACTGACCCTGCATTTATGGAGATTGAGAGTTAATCTCAAGGGGACATGGACATCTCACACTGCAATGAGACATCCAACAACAGCAAAAAAGCCAAAAAATATTAATTTTATTAATGTGGAAATGGATAACATGTATTACACAACATGCAAGGATGCAAAATCAGACACAAATAGAAAATCAAAGCTTATACAAACAAAGATAAACAGTTAATACAACACAAATGAGAAAAAAGACCATAATGCTAAAGTACACAAAAGAGCATGAAAGTCCATGAGAGAAAGTCATTCAGTTGCAGTTTGGCCTGTTCATCTGCAGGAGTCAGCCTGCATACTGGATTGCCCTACACTTGTGTTACTGACTTAGTTAGGAGTTGGAGAGAAGTAGCAACACAAATTGAAAGCCTTGATTACCAATGCTGAGGATGCAGAATGAATAAATGTATCAATATGACTCTGCAGTGAGATTTTTGTGAAGCCAATCTACGTATTTCTGAGACATTTCTGTGCAGCTTGTGTGTTTGTGTACGTGAAGAGGTGTGTCTAGGCATTTCTTGTTATACCATCAGGTCCAGATCTTCTATCAGCATTTCAAACAGTTTAAATGATATCATCAAACCATATATTTTGTATACATCAGTAAATTATAGTTTACTATGATTATTGATTAAGAAACACATTGTATATAAGCACATTTAGGGAATATATTTTCAATATCTTTCAATATCCATAACATATTTTATAACAGCTTAATCATGTATGCACATTATAAATACAATAAAAATGACAGTATGTGGGATTAAAATCATTAAAGATGTGATTTCTGTAGTCACTGATTGTGCTCTGTGTTTACTGTGAAATACTGGATGCATTGAAGGTACTCAGCTGTAATGCATGAACAAAATGTATAGTTAGAAAAAGAAAAGAAGCTTTTTTTTATGAAAGATGATAATTCAACAATGTAGAAATAAAGCCGTTGTAAAGTAAAGGAGCATGCTAATGAAAATGCAGAACAAATGTGGATAGAACCGATTAGTGACATACATAAACTCTGCCCAAGAGTATTATGTATTGACGAGTTAGTTACAATATAAGAAAGTAACGAGCATGCAAACATCTAAAGTAACTTTTACCGTGACAGAGGGAAATATAGCAAGGGTAAACCAACAATAATGATCTGGAGCACTAATAGTTGAGAAAGAGCCAGTTAATACACAAAGTCAATGAAACCACTCTGGTTTAGCATGCATGACCAGCAGGTCCGGACAGTCGAATTTCTGCAACAGTCTCAGGCTCCATTTACCTTCACTGTCAGACATGGCGCCTTGCAGGTCATCCATGATGAATGCAATGTCTCGATCATAGCCCTGTGTCCGAGACTCCTCCCTCATATGTTGCTGCACTTCTGGAAGGGAATGGCTTGATCCAAATTGGTCCCTGGAGTCAGCAGATATGGGAGGGAGAGGACCAGCAGAGGCTCTAGCCATACCCATAGGTTGTCCTACTGGGCTCAAGGGGCTCTCCTCCTCAGAGTTCTGAGCCACAATGGGAATCCGACCCCGGCTTTGGCTTATAGGTAAACTGGTGGGTTTCGTTCTGGGAACTCCAGGGGCAAATGCTGCATCCAGAACTTCCCCTTCTGTTTTGAGTCTGAGTGAGGAACTGGACAGGTCCCTTTTGATGGACAAATCCAAACCATAAACAGACGTGGGACGGGAGGAGGGGCGAGAAGAGGGGCGCGAACGAGTGCCACTTGGGTAGGTGCCATCATCCTGACCAGTGGTTCTAATAGTAGATCCCATTCCAATAGAATGTCCGAGATTAAGAGAACCAGAAAGACTGGCCCCAAGGGAGGAACCCAAATATTTTTGCTGTTCAGACAAATTTTTTCTCAGCCCAAATGTGATTTCATCCTGAAGTAATCTAGCCCTAGCTGCCAGATTGGACACAGAGGAGGCCCCAGATCCCATGTAGCTTCCATATTCAGGCTCAATGTCCCTACTTTCTTGGATTGGGGAAAATTTTGTTATAGCCTTTGGGTCTATTAAGGCCTTTTTGTTTTTCATCTGTTTTTGATAGAGCATAGCTGCTGGGAGCTGTTTTGCAGCCTGTTTTTCAAGTGTAAGCCTGCCAATGCTATATTTCTCGCCTTTAGGGAAGTGGCGAAAACTGCCATCACTGGGAAAATACTGAGGAAGTCCCAGGGCTGATAAATGTTCTAGTCCCTCATTTCCTCGTCTGAATTCTTGCTTGATTTGCTGTTTCAGCAACTTCAGCTCATAGGGTTCTTCCATAGTGTCATCTTCTCCTTTACCATAACGAGATGAGCCTAAAAATTCAGCCACCTAAGACATTGAAATAATACATGCATGTTTACCATTTTTCAAACCAAAAAAGGGCAATTGTTAATTCAGTTATGACCATGGCAAAAAACAGGATGACATAAAAGGACATTATTTACCTCTGCAGTACGCCTGACGTCTGCTGCCCTGAGTAGTCTGTCTGCCTTGGATAACTCCTTGTCAGGAAGGCTGAATCCTGAACCCAAGCCAGTATTGCTAAGTCCTGTAGAGGCCTTGGTGAGCTCACCTATATCCTCTATCAACACATAGTTTCTGGCATTGTGGTGGTCAATATCAGCATAGAAGGAATCAGCAGAAATGCTGGACATGGGGCTAGAGGCCATGCTCCTCTCCTCTAATCCAACCCTCAAGTCTAAGTTGCTGTACTTTCCCCCCAAGTGAGCAACTCCATAGCCACTTTCTGTGGAGGTTGGCACTATGAGCAGAGGTTGGTTTCGTATCACATCGTAGTCGGTGGTAATTTTAGGTTCTAAATCAGACACGTTAGTTTGTCGCTGCTTTCCCTGCTGAAGGAGCAGAGCATGCTGGTAGCTACTAGGCTGTGCTTGGGCATGGGAGATGGATAATGTTGGGTAAGGAGACACCTGTTGATGGTAAAGGGACTGCTGCTGATATAGGCTTTGCTGGGAGTAGTGGCTGGTGGTTTGGGTCTGTGGTACATACTGAGCATAGTGAGAGTAGGGACTAGTTAGTGTATTGTACTGGGAATCAGCTTCTGTTTGAGGAGGAATGAACTGGTCAAATTCTGACTGGGGGGCTGTCCGTGGCCTCTCAAGGCCATCACCTCTGGCCTCTCTAATGTTGCTAACCTCACTGTCTGACATGTAGTCTCTTTCCTCTGCCACCCCCTGAAGATAGGCTCTCTCTCTCTTCTCTCTTTCCTTCAACAAGGCCTCCTTGCGGCGGTTTATACCCATCTCCAGATACCTAGAGCATCAGCAGAAAATGTAGTACAATTCATTGATTATAAGTTCTCTTAACATAACTTCAAAATACGCAAATAATATTCTAATCTTTCACACAATTGTACCTGTTACAATGTATAAATGTGGAGAGGTCTCACTGAATGTTGTCATGGTAGTCTTTTAGCCCATAAGCTATCATGGTGGGAGGCAAACCATGCAGATGAAAATAAGAATGATGATGGCATGAGATGGAAAAATGCAATGATATCTGTTTAATTATTTTGGCATTTTTATGCATTGTTATTCAATGGATTAATGTTAATGGGCATGAATATGAGCAAAAAAGGGGCAACTCTGTGACATCTATTTAGACTCTTCAAAGTGTAACATCTCACCGAAGCTTAGCATCAATCTCCTTTTCTTCTTCATCAAGTTCAGCTTGTTTCTTGCGGAGTTTAGATGATTCTCTCTCCACCAGATCAAGTTCCTTGTCAATATCCTGCAAAATCTTTGCCCGGGCCATTGTTGTACTGCGAGCAAGACGACGACGAGCAGAGTTGGTGCTGTAGCCCGATCTTCCTGCCAGAGTGTCATCCTCGGGAGGGGGGTCTGGTAACGTTCGCTTGACTTTTTTACCTGTACCAGAGGCAGAGCCTCGACCCTTGAATTTGGAAAAAAACGGTGTCATTTTCATACTATCAAAACATTCATTATCATCACATCTTTAGTTTTTTAAAATAAATTTCAAAGACTTACGGAATAGCTGTCTGCATAGTATCCAGCCATCGAATCTTCTGTGGAAGGACTGAGAGATTTAGGATCAGAAAGAGACTTCTGACCTGCCTTTAAAATCCGAGGGCCAGAGGAAAATCTGGTTGGGTCAGCAGTTAGCATTCTCTGCCCTCCATATGACTTTTCAGGAGATAGAGTAGATACTTGGGTGTAGAAAACTTTAGACTTGGAGGGGGTGTCGGCAGTCAGGTGTGTACTGTAGCCCACATCAGTGGATATATGTCTCCTATCTAAATCTGTCTGGCAGCTGAGACTGCCGCTTCTTTGAGAGTTCTCGGGAGCTGATATATGTTTTATAATTTCTACCTTTGTGTCCATTTGGACGCTGGGCCGTTTGATAGTCCCAGAGTGGTCTGTTTGTACAGATATCTCTGCAACTGTCTGAATAGCAATGCTGGAGACTTTAGAGCCATGTTTTCCATCACTGCTGTGCTTTCGAGAGCGCCGTCGAGCTTTAGTGGGAGCATCCCACTCATCTTGGTCCTCATCATCAGTCTGAGCTGAGCTGTCAATATTTCTTTTATTCTTCTTTTTTCTTCCCATATACTGTTTCTCTGCAGAGTCTTCATCATCTGTCTGCACTCCACTATCAAGTATTTTTTTCCCTATGTCTTGATCAGCTTGAAGCTTTACAATGTTAAGCTGGTCATGACTCTCCTCTACATGTATGGCTGTAGTTGGATATGTTGACTCATCCTTGACAGGCCAGTACTGGCCACTGTCTCCTACCCCTGCATATTTTGCTTCTAAAAGGTTTCCTGTTGTACCAGTGGTACCATAGTGCTCATCTAACTGATGCTGGAGTTGCAGTTGGAGTTGCTGGATTTGCTGCAACTGCTCTTTCTGTTGAGCATATGTCTCCTGCTGTGCCACCATGTGGGCATGGTACTCTTCTTCTTGTTGGAGGAGAAGCTGCTGTTTCAGAGCCTGAAGTTCTTCCAATTCTCTTTGGACCATTATTTGTTCCTGTTCTCTGTAACGCTGGATTTCTTGTCTTTCCCACTCCAACTCCTCAGCAAGACATAGCTGCTTTAGTTTCTCTAACTCAAGAAACTCCCTCTCCATTTGGTACTGAGCCATCTTGGTGTTGTCTAAGCCAGGGAATATTGGGGAAGAAGCAAGTGCATCCAAAGAAGCAGCAATAGCTTCAAGGGTGGTGTCTGAGTACATGTCAGGGTAGCCAGTGATTATATCAGCCAAAGCTGTAGGTAAAAGCTCTTTAGGGAGCCCTGTCTCAAAAGGAATAATTTGTCCTGTATCTGTATCAGGGATGAAACCATATGGATATGGTAAGGACTGGTCTTGGACTGCTGAATTAGGTGGTAAGTTAGTGCTAAAGATGGAGCCTGGCTGAGTTGTAATTGCATATGTGGATGGAACTGGTGCAGCAACAGAGGAATAAACCACTCCTTCCGATGTTCTTAGGGTAGTATTCACACCATATCCACCAGCAGGCACCTGGGAGTGTGGAGTTGGAATCATCTCTGGGTAGACTCTGGCAGCTTTGCTAGTGTAGTCTAGTGCTTCACCTGTCACAATAAGTCCAAAGGTGTTGATTTTACTTTCTCAGGTAGCTTATTAATTAAACTGTACAAAATATGGTATGAATATCATGCAATGTGAAGTTCCACTGTGCATGCACATCAGTAGTTACTTTGGCTAGCAAGATGCAAAACCAAAATATTGAGGGAGTACACGCAGGCACACACATGCATCTGTGTGAAAGAAAAAAAAAGTTATTCAATAAAATCATGCATATTTAACAGCAAATCAAACTAAACAAATAAGCATTTTAACAAACAGACAGTGATTAACTAACACAATAAAATTTAAAAAGAAAGTTGATATAAAAGCATTTTAAAGAGCTAGTATTTGTTAAATCTATTGAATACAAATCCACAACACAAAACAGAAGGGAATACTGAAAATATGCAGAAAGAGTAAAAAACTCACCAGCAGAAAGCTTAGCAGCAGTAAGGTCTATTGCACTATCTGGAGATCCGCTGAAGTAGTCATAATCATTCTTGAGATCATATGAAGACAGTCCAGCCTCTGTAAGATTGGTCTCAGAAACTGATGATTTTATTCCATTAATTCCTTTCATACCACACAGTCCAACCTTGTCATATTGATAGTGATCATCTCTGTATCCAAAACGGTTTTCGGGCTGTGTTGTAACTGCAGGCTGTGGTCTGCAGCTTCCAGTGAATGGCAGCTTGTAGATAACATCACAGCATACACTCCTCCTACCAGCTGTAAGGTCCACTGGAATTCCATGATCTTCTACAATCGTGGTTACCACCCCTGGTTTTGTACCAGACAATGTTACCATTGCCTTTACTTGTCGGTAGTTTGATAAGTCTATGGCTCCTGTTGTTTCTAAAGAAACAACTGGATTTCCATTGTCGTTAATTGTTGGAGCTGAAGATATTGACGGTTTTCCTCCAGAGGAAAGAAGAGCCTCGAAGGAAAGATTAATTGGTATGTCTTGATCCGCAGAAGCACTGAGTATGGGCTGGGCCTTCACAGGTCTATATACTATTTGTGTTAGTGGTTCAAATGGTTTGTATGTTGTGAGAGGGAGAGGCAAAGATGTAACAGGGCCCTGCAAGTCTAGTGGTTTCTCTGCTGGGGTGTTGTTATATGAAGCAATGGTGGCTGTGCATGTGACTATTGTGATGCTGTCAGTGACAACTGACAGTGTTGTTGCAGGAGTGATCTCCGAACTGAGGTTTACTATCTCAGGCTGCACAGCAGTGATTTGTCGTCCACTGAAGTCACTTGAAAAAGACTGTCGACAGGACTCAGGTGGAGTCAGGTCCATGCCCTGATCCGTCATCTTGATGCCTGGTTTGACAGTCCGTAAATCAATAACATCCCCGGGATATATTATTCTACCATTTTGTTTGGGCACGTGTTGAACCTTTGTCAAATCTGGTTGTATAGTCACTTCTACACTTGATGGTGGGACTTGTGGAAGTCTTTCATGGACAACAGAAACAGTGGTCCTTTGAACCTCAGTAGTGACCACCTGTGTCACCAAACTAGGCAAGATTTCAGGAGGCTGGCCTGAGGTGGAAATAGATGATGAATACATGTGGCTCATACTGGAAACTACTTTTTCGGGCCCTCTTATCTCTTGGCTCTCTATGGATTTTTGCTGAAATTTAGTGATGGTAACTGGAGTCAGAGTTACTCCCTGTGGAATGTCCTGAGCAGTAGGAATTGAGGTTTTCCTGGTATATGCTTCAGTGGTTATAATCTCCAGAGGATAATCATATTCAGATGAATATGTAATTTTCTGTGGCATGTGTTCCGTGGAAGGAATATGGTCAGTCATGCAGGGGACTTGAGTAGAACAGCTATCCACAGGTATGTCTTTTTCAGCTGGAATGTTGACTGATTGTGGACACGGTGATGGTTGCTGCATCGCTATGGATTGTTTCCTTGATGAAAACGCCTCTGTTGTAACCCCTTGAGTTGGCATTTCATAGTCTGTGGGATAGGTAAGTATATAATTTGTTGGATATGGTGGCTGCGATGATATGGACATCCTTCTCTTACAGGTCATCTCCTCAGTTGTAATAACAGGTATTCCTGCTATTACCTGAGGCTGTATTTCTGATGATGGGATTGAGGCATGTTTTGAATCAGTTTCCTTTGTTATGACACTGGCAGGTGTCTCATGGCCAAACTGCAATGCTCTGACTTCCAGTGGTGTTGCTGGCTGTGACATAATTGAATTTGTAATTGCTCCATATTTTTGTGGAATATAAGCAATAGAAGGTACATCCTGGTGAGTTATTTGCTCAACTTCCATCAGAAGAGTTGGTGTTTCTTCAACAGTACGAACAGTTACTGTAGATTGTGGCATTACCTCTGGTATAACAGATCTTGGTGTAACTTCAGTTACAACAGTGTGATGATCAAGAACAGAAGGTGAGTCTGCAACAACTGGTGTTTTCATACTACTGTCAATTGTAATAGCATCTGTGGGAAATTCCTCCTTCATAGGGAGGGTCATAACATCACTCACTAGATTTAGCTGTCGTGGTGGTAACTGTTGTGTCACTGTAGGCAGATTTTCTGAAAACACAGTTTGTGGTAATGAGAATCCAGAATTGGGAGAGGTATTAAAACATGAAGATAATTCTTGTACTTTTGTCTGAATCCCTGCTTCAAAAACTGTGAATGGCTCTGGAGCTGCAATTTCCTGATGCTTTAGTGGTGCAGCCGATGTTACCTGAACTGCTCCTATGACAATAACTTGAGTGGGTTCATTCTGTATTTGCTGTAACTTGTCGGTTTTTGATGAAATCTGTGGCTCAGCAACAGCTGGAATTACGTTACTTGGTGTGTCTTCTATGACAACAGCATCTAAAGGTACATCAGGCTGCATGGATTTAGCAAAAACTTCTGTGGGAAAGTTTGGTAACACAGTTTCAATTGTCTGAGGAACAGTTTTTTCAGTCATTCCTGCTGAAAGTAATGTTCTGAATTCTGTGTTTATGCTTGGTTGTTGAGGAACATTTGGCATTGACTGTTCTTGAGCTTGAACTGTTTGTGGTTTATTGTGGATGTTTGGCTTGTCTGCTATTGTGGCGATGTCCGATTTTATTTCAGCAGGTGGCAATGACTGAATTACTTGCTGTTGCTGCTGTACAAAGGGTTTTTTAATTGGAAGAAGAACGGTTTGGACCTTAATGGAGGTATCTTGATCAGATGGCACTGTAATGATATCAGCCGCAGACAATGGTGGTTGCACAGCAGATGGTACAGAGTCTATCCTGGCTTGTGTGGTATCCAATTCCTCAGATGAAGTGACTTGCTCTGTTGCCACATCAAGAGCCATAAGAATTGGAGGTGGATGCTTCACAGCGGGAACAGAGGCTCTTCTAACTGTAGCCGGTGCTGAGAAGACCTCCATAGGTGTTTTCTGCTCTAATGGTGTTGTCCTTATCCCTGAAATATTTGAGGATGGAATGGAACCTCGCCTAACTGGTGCCTGGACTGTTATGGTTTCAGTTGGTGACCCAGGCTCAGATGGAAGAGTAATTACAACATAGGTTTGCAAGCATTTGGTATGTCTTGGAGACACAGGTGACTTTGGAGATGCTGCACCTAACTTGGACTCAACAGGTCGTGTCAGGCTAAGTGACAGAGCATTTGGAGGTTCTTTCGTCCTGGGCAGTGTCGCTGCTTTTGGTGCAACAGAAGGAGGGGGAGGCTTGACACTCTCTCCTGCCTTGTGGCTGAAAACTAGTCCGGCTGGAATTGATATAGGCTTAGGTGGTATGGGAGGAGGCTTGCTAGTTTGACTTGGACCAGATGTGACAGAAACACCTGATCCTGCTGCTGTGGTAGTTGTGCCTGGTGTGGTTATTGGTGGCTTTGGATAAACTCCTGGTTTAGGCAATGTAGAGGGAAGTGATGGTCTTGAATCTGGAACAGGCACTTCCACATTACTATGCATTACTTTTATTCCCATGGGTGGTGTTGGTGGAAGTGGTGGAGCTGAAACTTCTTGCACTGCTGAGGTATTTGGTGATAGGGGGAGTATATCCCTCCTGTTTATATCTGATACAGAATGCGTATCTGTTTCATTGCTATATTGTAGAGAAACAGTTGTTTCTCCTGTGTTAGCTACAACCTGTGTGGTCTTTCCAACTTGAGATACATTTTCCACACTTGGCACGATAATTACAACATGACCTTGCCTGGTTGGGGTCACTATTTGAGGTACAAGTGCATGATCTGGTTGTATATCTTCCATTCTTGGCTGTATATCTACAACTATGGATTGCATTGGCTGTGTAGCCACTGTGGTTCCAATAGCCGATGTCATTGGTGTAACATTTGCACATTTTACAGCTGGAATCCCTATAGTAGCCTCAGGCAATGACACTGAAGTAGACCTGGGGGGCGGTGGAGGTGGAACCTTCTTTTTGACAACAGTAGTTGATGCGGGAGTGGGTGGAGGTCCCTGTTCACTGTAAGCTTGAGTTGGGACTACCACAGGGCTAACAGATGAAATGGGTGATTGTATAGGAACTGAGTGTACCACTTTAGCTTCGGCTTGAGCCGAGGCTGTTATAAGGGCTGAAATTGGTTGTGGGATGTCTGCAGTGATTGGAGCTGTAGTTGAAACCAGGTCGGGCATTTGAACAACAACTGGTCCAGAACAGGATACTGAACTTACAAGTGCAAAAGTTGGAGTGGAGGTTACAACAGATGAAACTCTAGCTTGAGAAGTATGAACTGAGACAACTGCGGGAACTGCGCTTGGTGCTAACACTTGTGAAACAGTTGGAACATTATTGGTTACCTGAGATGGAGATGAAACCAAGTCAGGCATTTGGACTACAACAGGTTCACCAATAGATGTGTCCACTTGAGGTGGAGTAGGGCCTTCAGTTGTAGAAGTCTTAACTTGAAATACCCCTGTTTTTTCAGCTTTGGATGGATCAGTCACAACATCAGGTATTGTAACAATAGCAGTTGTTGGTGTTGGATAAGATATTACATTTTCAGTAACTGCTGTAACAGTTACAGCATGTGTTGGCATAGAGGTACCTGGAATTGACTGGTCTTTAAATGAAGATGGGGGTGTCGGAGTTGACAGTGGTGTTGAATCTGATGAAAGTGGTGTTTGAGCCTGAAATGTTGAAGAGGATGTTGCATTTGAAGCCAAACTGGAATCTGGAGTGGCTGGTGAAGTAGGAGAGGATACTGGGGATACAGGTGAAGGCGTAGTGGTTAGCTCTGGGGCTGAAATTGGAGATGGAATTGGTTTTGGCTCTGGAATTTCACAGACCACGCATATAGGCTCCATTTCAGTGGTCTCAGACAAAGCTGGACTACTTGATAGATCATCCTTAGTCTCAGAGTCATCACTGGGGGTAATGTCAGAGGAAATACCAATTGCATACTCGTCTGCAAGACTGTCATCATCTTCCTCGCCAGATGAACATTGGGTAATTTTAAGGTCTGGTATGGGGAACAATGCTTTTCTAAGTGCTGGATCTTGAGGAACCATGGGCCTAATAAAACTTATAGAAACACTTGTAGTACTTGGAACAACATTTACCTCTGGACGCTTGGGGGGTTCTGAGGGGCGTGGAGGGGCTGGACGTTTCTTTTTCTTTGCTGGAAATTCACTTAATGTATCCATGCATGGAGGAGATACAGAACTTTCTTCATTGATCTTTGTATCTTCACAGGGTATGATCACCACATAGCTTTCAGAGACCAATGGAACATCATGTACCAAAGACTCTGAAGAGGATTCCATGGCAGTTTGGGCTTGTTGAAATTCCTGCTCTATCATAATAAGTTCTCTTTTTTTCTGCATCATTTCTTCATAAACCTCCTCTGGGGACCTCAGTTTTTTAACAGGCTGAGTGTCAGTGTCATTTTTGGGTTCTACAGATTCACTTAATTTTGGCTCCTCCACTAAAGATTCATACAGATAGTCCTCTATTGCCATTCCTCCATAGAGTGGCTCCACATCAGGAGGACTCTCCCCTGGAATAGATTGTGTCTTCTGAATAATTTCCTCATATGCTTCCTCAGCACTCTTCAATGATTTTGTTAAATTGTCCTTTTCAATAAATGGATCAGAAGGAGTGTATGGTATGACTGTTGGTGAAGGTTTACGTCCTCTCTGTACAGCCCTCCTATTATCTGATTCAGATTCTACACTAGCAGAATACTCAGAACCAGATGTTCTGTGGCTTTCATCCGTTACAGTAACTCCTCTTAGATCTTCTGTAGAGGAAGCATCTCCAAGTGGAGACAGTGGTTGGCCATGTGCTCTCCCCTTGTCTTCCTCAGATGAATCTTCAATAGTGGGGAGAGGCTGGGTTGGCTGCCTGTGCTTACCCTTGCGGTGTCGTTTGTCCCCACCAATTTTCTTTCTATGAGGACTGCTATCACTGTCTTCCTCCAGAGAAGAGGCAGATGTAGGAGAATTTCCCGGAGTAATGCTAGATGCCTGAACACTAGATGAGCCTTTTGACAGGGACTCTGTAATGCTCTCCACTTCTTCATCAGTGCTTTGTCTTTGCCTTGCAACTGGAATAGCTTTCTTGAAAGTAGTCACAGGAACTGTTTCAGGAACACTTTGTGAAGTTGCACTGTCAGTGTTTTGAACAGGTTCATTCTTGACTTGGTTGTCTTCATTATCTGTCTGACCATTTCCAGTGAGAGGTTTGATTGTTACATTATCATTATCAAGTTTAACTTCCTTTACAACTTCTTCATTTTCTAAATTCTTTTCTTTCTCATCTTCCGACACACACATCTCCTCTTCATCACCCATTCCCATTATCTGCTTGCGGATGAACTCATCATCTTCGACAGAGGAGTCAGCACTTTCTGTTTTGATGTCCTCACTACTTGATGTGACAATGTCAACCTTTAGGTTCTTCCTTTGGATTTTCGGGGATGGTGTGGGTGTGAGCTCACTTTCACTGCTCTCATCCATTGCTTGGAAACTCAGACGCCTTCTCTCAGTTTTATTGTCTTCATTGACTGGCATGGATGGCTCTATATTTATATCACTTTTGTTTACGTCTCCCATCTGCTCCTCAATCACCTCTTGTAGAACAGGTATAACCTGGGGTTCATCATCAGCATGTTCTTCTGTTTTGGATTTGGGCTTATTCGTTTCCGAGCTAAGCTCCATTTGAACATGCTCTGCAGGTAAACAGGTTTTGCTGCTTTCCACATGCTCCTCAATGTTTTCATCTAAATTCTATAAAACAAGAAAAAACATTTATGAATGTGTTAGTAACTTCATGGAAGAATCTAAAATAGGGTCTAATGCAGTCTCAATATTCATGATTCCCCTCAACAAAAATCCTCTTAACCAGTAATGGCTTGCATCTGTCTGAAAACACATAAATGACATAACTTTCAGCCCTTCCTGGCTAAATTAAAATTGTATCATTCCATAATAGACACACATATTGTTCACATTTGTAAAACAGGTTTAGAAAAATATTGCTTGTTGTGCACATTGCTTCTTTTATAGCCAGATTTTTATTTAATTAAAGAGAGGAATGAAATTATTACATCATTGAAAATGTATATTGATATTCAGCCCTCGTTTAAATTTAAATCAATTTTATATCATGGCAAAGATAATAAATAATACATTTTTCATTTACCAAATGTGGTCCTATAACATTTTAAACGTACACAAAGAAGGATAAATTCTTACTTCTATATGTATGCTCTCCGTAGATAATTGCTGGGTATCTGGAGATGGGGCATTCTCTGTAAGATTTTCAGTTATCCTATCAGTCTCTTCCTTGGTGTCAACTCCTGCATCTGGTTCTGCTTTTACTGTGGGCTGTTGTTCCTGTGACTTTGATTGCTGTTCATCTTGTGACAGAGATTTTGTTGGCTCTGTTGGTTTCACATGATCTTCAGGTTGTTCCTCCAGAATAATACTCTTAGGCTCAGAGAGTTCTAGCTTTGTATCAGTATCTATAACAACTTTAGACACTGAAATCTCAGCAGGAATAAGGGGTATAGGTGCATCTTTAACCTCAATCACAGAAAGAGAGGGAGCTGTCAATATCTCTGTTTCACCTTCAGTTTCTGATACTTCTGAATATTTTACTGATGCTTCTTTATTTTCTGTTATTGAAGCCTCAGGAAGTTGGGTGCTTGGCACTTCCGCCTTTGATGCAACTTCTTTTGCCTGTTGCATTTGCATTGTAACATCTAAGGAGGGTTCTGCTATAGATGCTGCCAAAGGTTGTGCTTCTTCTGCAACTGTTGAAACCTTTGCCGTGGAAGACACAGGTGTTGTCTCAAGTTCACTTGGTTTGGAAGGAATGGTAGCCATGGTTTCCATTTTGACAGCTTGTTCCTTTTCTTTTGTGGTTTGAATTACTGGTCCTGTCTCAGTGTGGGTGGGTACAGATTTTTGTTTGGTGGCAACAAGTGCGGCCTCAAGTTTTGCGGGTGCATGTTTGGTGTCTGCCATATTAATTACAGGTGTAGACTGGATTTCTGATTTGGTAGGCACAGGTGTAGGTTGAGGCTTTTTTCCTGAGTCTCCGAGCTGTGCGGACAAAGCTCTCTGAGTCTGGCAGTTCAAACATAGCCATTCCTTCTGTAATTAAAGACAAAAACAAATTACAATTAGGAAAAACAATGAGTAAATATTGAGAAGATAATAAGACAGACAAAAACATTATTTTCCTCTTTTTGTACCTCAAATGAACAATTTATTCTAAATAAAATTATGTTTTTATTTTATTTTATATTCCTCTGTAGATTACACCAATGTAATGCACTGCAAGACAACAACACTATGATACCTGGCTGGGTTAATGATCCCTCTTTTACACATTTTCTTTTCCAAAGTATTTTTTATTTTTACTGGTTAAATTTAAATCCACACCGCAGATTGTAGTAGCTTCTAGTTGGTTAGCAAAACCAATGGAAACTCTCATTCCTCTATAACATATTAGTTCCATAAACTTTTTGCTGTCTTTACTGAATTATACTGTCACTTTATTTGTGTTTTGAGGAGCTCAAACTTAGAACTGTCGATTTATGTGGGCATCTTTGCAATATTGTTTATACACATAGAGTTATGCACAGATGGACAGTTGGTTATATTTATAAAAATTAATAATATATATTAAAGATTAGGAGCTTATCTGTTTTGGATCTTAGGTGAATTACATATTAATGATGACTTTTGATGCAGATTTGAATGCCAGGGGTGAATATTTATCATTTTGTTTTGTTGGCAATATATGCTCTTAAATTAAGAAAAAAAGTATTTCTCTATAACATGTTAACACTGCAATATGTTGTGTTTTAACTGGTAGATAGGTACTGATAGTACTGTTTAGTACTAAAAGATTTGACAATTTTCACAATTTAAATGCTAAAAAGTTCAATTTAGCCATTTTGTAAAACATAATTTCCACCCAAATTACATAGCTTGTCAGTACTGTCAGTTGTCAGTAAACAAGATCTGTACTAAAAACCATCTCATTTAGACATAAGCATTCATCAATTCAATAATTCTCACCAGTAGCTCCTGATCTATATAAAAAAATCACACTGCTAATGCAACAGATTTGACATCACTTGTGAGACTGCAATAAAGATGCTTACCTTGCAGAGGAGCTAATCGCATCTTTTAAGAAGTGCTACTACTTTCAAATGTAATCCACTGATGACATGTTTTGAATCACATGTAAGTTCCATTAATGGAAGATGAGAGGAAAGCAAAGGCTGTTAACACCTAAAGCAGTGTGTCTGTACCAACAACCTAGCAGACCAAATCACAGCAATGCGCCTGTCTCTGCAGAGCCAGCAAGAGTCATTCTGAGGCAGGACAGAGGGGGAGATTACTACACACATATCCTGTTGAATACCATGAAGTTGTGATAGCTTTACCTATAATATGATATGTTAGGTTGAGGTAATAAGAAATTACAAATGTTATTCAAGCATTAAAGTGTTCTGTTTAGCTAAGGCTAATCTTAACATGGGGGCTGCAGTTCTTCCTCAAATGCTCTATTCATTAGAATGTCATTTTTCTTGATATAAAGCCATAAAGTACCAAAGTCAAATGTTAAGATCACACTCCTAAAATTAAAGAATAATGGTAAAATGGCAAAGGTTTGCCTTCTAAATTACTCAATACAATGTGTATTGCCTTTAAAAACTTACAGTTCAGAATTTGGTTAAACTTAACAAAGCAGGCTTAGAATATCACTTCTCATACTCATAGACTGCTGCCAGCACCTTAATTTCAGTAAATGTTTAATTAGCTGCAATGCTGAACAACGCTTTTACCAACTGATAAATATAATAATAAGAGTTATAGTTGTGACCCTATCATAATTTACAGCCTGTGGTGGGTACAGTCTGAACTAATCTTACACAAAGTTGGAAAACGGAGAGTGATGCATTTAATTTGACTGCAACATTGATGCTATTGTTCATTTGCTTTTGTTTCAGTCAGGAATATGATAATCCTGTTTGCTCCAGCAGGAACAATACCTCATCTTCAAACTGTATAATGCAGAATATTGGGCGACTCTGTAAATGATTTATAATTTCATTTGCTTTTACCTGAAACAAGCTTTCTCTGGTCCAAAAATAAATGTACTTATACAAGACCATTTTTTTTTTCATTTGTAGCCCAGAGTGGGGGAAATGACGGTTTGTCTTATCTTAGTATTCTATTTGACACTAGGAAACATTGCATTCATCTTGAGCTCAGGAACCAGTTCAAACCAAAATCCTCATTGTCGCTGTAAGATTGTGTAGTCCAACCTAAATGTCTGCCAGCTTCATAATCGACAACAGATCCTTCTTCATGCTCTCTCTTGCCATTCCTACATTATATATTTATAGGTTAAAAAAAAGGCCATACTACTGTGGCGTATATATGCCAACTAACAAAATCACTAATACGGTTTGTTTATTCACAGTATGAATTGGTAATAATAAACTCATCCTCATGGTGTTTGGTGGTCTCAGCAAAAGCAGCCAATAATCCAATAACGCCAAGCCAATAAATGTCCATTTAAGATGTGACTTTGGGTGTAAAATCAGACTGTACATATACTCTGGAGAATATTGAGACTCTTACATAAGTGTCAATGACTTCCCTCCAAACAAATGTATTATGTAACTGAGCATATGTTTTCAAATATTCAAGTTAAGTATAATGTCAAATATTAAAAATATAAAGGTTTTGAAAAGGCATATAGGTGTGTAATATTCCTCTCTAACTGTAAGCCGCTCCATGACATAAAACTGCACGGGCCTATGTTTTTGTATTACCGACCATTTTAAAGCAAAGAAAAAATATTGACAAAAGGTGCCAAAAAATGGCAAAGCATTACAGCAATTAGAGTTTTGCGCTTGATCATGAATAAGCCAGTTTATTTAAATATTGAATCAATCTAAATGTATCAACCACAACAAAAACAGTTAGGAAAAGAATTGCCGAGTGCGTCTATGAGAGAGAGGGAGACCTTATCACATCATAATCTTATCACATCACTCCACTGTTAGTCACTGCATCTCAGCAACTCAGTCTCAGAGCCATGCATCAGAGCTATGGGGCTTGGAAAGTCGCCACCATCCTTTTGTCTAATTAAATCTGTTTTATGAGTCAAGAGCAGGAGCACCTTGCAGTGAGAGCTGTGGGAGAGGCTGCTCCACATGATTAACCTTTGAGCTGGATTACTCAACCCTGACAATGACAGCAGTCAGGAATGTACCTGCAGAAAAACAGGTGTTCTGCATAAGTTAGACAAAAATAATTTGTCTCTCCCCTTACTTACACTACAAAACAAACCAAATAAAAAATAATGAGTTGGCCCTTCAAACTGCTTTTTTGGGTATATCTGAATGTTCTTTTTCATTGACTAAAATGAGGAAAGCAGTTTTCTTCTGTGAGTTTCAGAAAGTCTCCTTCGTGCTATCTTGCTGTCGTCATTGGAGCTAGTGAAGCTTTTATTGATTTTCAAGCAGATGCCTTCGGCTAAAGTGAAGCTGGCTAATATACTTGGCTCTCTGCAGCCCCCACAGGGCTGGACTCCTCATATATCAAGCCCTCCAATAATGGAAAATGTTGACCTACTAATCTGTAATAAGCAGAGTGCTTCATGCTACAGACAAGGAAATGCATCCTGAGCTTTTTTGAGTCAGACCACTGGTGCATCAGCAAACGTTCCTGTAAACCACTAAATGTAGCTAAAAAAGCAACATGCATTCTTTTGAAAGAAATCACCACAGCTTGACAGATAAATATCCCAACCTTAGAAATATACCTTGCTTTGTCAGGCACAATAAATAATTCAGTCTGTTTGAATGCAGATGAAAACAGCACCAATACATTCTTCACACTGGCAAAAAAGAACTAATTAAAAATGTGTCATAGCTAAAACCAAGTGAAGCAGATTCAATTTGGCAATGACAAGCTTCAGTGCTCCCTTCCAATGGAGGCAGTGATAAAACAGAAGGGATAGAGCAGGTAGACTGTGTTTGGTCTCACTCTGACTATTTTTAATACTTGCACTTGGTGCACCAGAGGATTTCTCCCCCTCATCTTAGAGTCAACAGTCTCTAGTCTACATTTGAAAACATCCCCCACATGTTCTTCATTTCCCAAAATAATTTTTTTGTGTAAATACCATTTCAGTTACTTCTAAAAATGTAATGGATAAGCATCACAAAAATACAACTAAATGAAAAAGATCAACAACTACTACTTTGAACTTCTGTGATATCTAACTACATCTGGAAATATCAAAACAGGGCATACAGTCACTCGGTGTTATCATTAAAAAATATAAATTGAAAGGTTAATAAAGTCCAGGGCAGAAAGAGTTCATTTCTCCAAAGAGCCATCACATCACTAGTTATTTAAATGCTTTGTTTTCTCAACAGCTGCTGGGACATACTGATCATTTCTTTAAGCAAAACTTTAATCTGGAAAGTAATTTCCTTTCATTCTGAAAATGAATTAAATGCTGCCAAGTACACCAAACCCAACTGCCTCATCCATGGATGGACTTTCCCTCAATAAGATAAATCAATGCAATGAAATGGAAAAAGTCTGTATTATTGTTTCATCTAATTATAAATTAATCTATGAATCACGTTGCATTTGTAATACATAAGTAAGTATTACAAAATGTACAGTGTGTGTCATACTGTGCATTTCATAATATATATTATCGATTCATGAAAATAAGGGTTATTGTATGTTTTCAAATCAAATTAGGCCAGTTTGCATTCCAATTCGTCAAATAATTTAATCAGAATTCTATTCAAACAAAATCAGTTCACAAAATCCAGCCAAGTTTAGGAAACCAGTATTGGCTAAATCATTTTGAACAAAAACACTGCATCGTAATTTCAAACGATATTTTAAATGTTCCAAATCAAGAAAGAATTGTGAAAAAAACAAACAAACAAAAGCCATCTCTACTGACAATATGACGTGTCTCAGCATTTTTTGGTTTTGGCCTCTTTAAGATGAACATGAAAAGAAACACCAGGGAACTTTGCCAAGAATTATGAATTTTACAACTGATATACATGATGTGACAATATTATAATACTACTGGGGAAAGCCTTACCATTTACAGAGCTTTAGTTGCCTAAGCATGACACGTGTGCCCTAGTTATCAAACAGCAGTCATTCTTAAGGCTTTAATGGCATCAGCTGAAGCCCAACATGGCTGAGTATTATGGTTGTACGCAGACTGCCTAAAGCAGCCCGGTCCTCTTTAAAACCTTAACGTCTGCGTTCTAAAAGGCTGCATTTCCCTCCTCCTATCGGAGGAGCCACACACATTCATGCTTGACAAGCACAAATAACGCCATAGGACAGCTCTTTCTATCCATTTGTGCTGGGGCCTGGTTATTCCTGAGAGAAATTCATCTACGTTGCACACACAACAGCCATTGGGCTTTTACCTCATCGCATCCAACGTTTATCCTCAAACTCTTCCCCTTTTGACTATCATAATGTTAATATGAGAAGTGTAATTCACATAAATCTACATCATACTTTAGTGATGTTGCTACATTGTAATGTCTGTTTAGGCTGAACATGTGGAAGCTTATTTTGAACCGGTGGGGAAAAAATTTAAATAAAAAAGGGGTGAAGAAATCAGTTTTTAAGTTTTACAGAGAATATTGTCCTCATCATGATCCCATGCTAACTCAAATACAAAGCAGTAAAGAAAGGAGGCAGGTGACAATGTTTCATTAAATGCTTCTGCTACAGCCCTGAGGCCCGACAAATGAAGAATGGATTAAATATTAAACCAAACCTATGGGGGTGAAGTGACACAGCAAAAAAACACAGAAGTGAAGAAGACAGTATCAATGCTCCCGACATATAGCTTAATAGCAAAAAGAAGACACACAGTGTTGCATCAACTGTAACCGGCATGTGCAGATTAAAAGGGAGCCACTGATCTCTGACCAGCAGATGGGGTGAAAAGAAATGTCCGGTTAAAATGCACTGCACCATGTTGTGATAGACCTAATCCACTTCACCTCTGCTGATTGGCATATCACAGGGCTTTCCATCTCAAATCTCTCATGAGGTCAGGAGATTCCCTGTTCCCTGGTCTCCAGTGGCAGCAAATCCCATCTCACTAATGCTATTGCACAACCCTCAATCATCACTTCAAAACATTTTCAGTGCTGCTGTTGTGCTGAGCTCTTATGTAATCACTTTGGCCTTCCCAACAGTGAGAAAGCTACAACAGTTAGCCACAGTGTAACTTTTAGGTTTCTTTGGTATATTTTCCTCTAGTATCACAGTATGAAAACAGATTCAAGTAAACTCCTGTTTATGCCGTCTGGTTTGACAGCTTCCGTTAATATTCCACCATACTTATAACTCATGTTTTTTGTTGAGAACACTCAAAATTCTGAGAAAAATATTTTGTGCTCTATTTCAAATAAGCATAAAAGGCATAACAGCTTCTTCCCACCCATTTTCATTGTGGTAGAATAAAGCAAAGGGTAAGTAGTAATGACTCACCAACGTGTTTACAGTCCCCCAAAATATGGTTATTTATAATGTGAAAATTGACAGTCAGTGTGATCTTAAACAAAGAATGCTGCTAAATGTACGAAAACTCCTTTAGACTAAGTACTTTACGAATAATAATTGAAAATACTGGAATAATGTAATTCTTGTTAATTTACTGAATTCCTGTGTGACGTGAGCAAAAAGAGCTCTTATACTACATATTACAGACTATACTATCATCAAACAGCCAGTGAGCTGACAAACTAAAAGAAAGTGAGCTTTGGGAGTGGTGTTGGACTGGAACCAAAAAACAGCTTCTTACTGAGAAGATAAAAGGCTGACGTATAGTATGTCTTCCATTTTGGAAAATGCCTCCGCATTTTTTGCAGAGGCATGATAATGGGCAGATTATTGAAGAATCTTAGTTTTGTTACAGGAATTTAAATGTTAAACCCCATTTCAATGTAAGGCAGGTCAATGAAAGTGAAAATGGGAAATGTGAATATTTATTTATTAGACTTACCGCTCCTGTGTGAGGCGCTGGGTTGAATCCACAGAGGTTGCAGACAGTGCTCTTGCATTCAGTGCAGTTGTTATAATTGGGAGGATCCTTAGAGTCCACGTTGAGTTCAACCTTACAGAGTGGACAGGTGGACTGACCCACCTCAGGAGCAACCTTGACCTCTTTTGTGGACTTTGACACATCTAAAGCTTTCTCTTCTTTTTCCTGTTTTGATGGTTCTGCCTTGGCTTGAGGGGGTGGCTCTGATTTTTGTGGAACGGGTGGCTTTGTGTCCTTTGCAGGTGTTGCCTTTGGGGAAACTGGTGGGGTAGCTCTAGGAGAGACGGGACTTGTAGTGGACATCTTCCTTTGAGAAGGAGGTGTAATTTTAGCTTCATCCTGAACAGCTGAGGTTATCATTGTAGATGCTGAACTAAGAAAAGATGAACCGAAGCCAAACATCTTCCCAGTCACTGAATCTCCAGACTTTACTGCTGTAGGCTGTACTTTGGGGGCACCAAAACCAAAAAAACTCCCCGATTCCTGTTTAGGAGTCTTAGCTGCGGGTGGAACAGCTTTGACAGGTTGGGTCGCAGCTTTTGACGGCTGCTGTGGTAATTTACTTGGTTCTTGTTTCGGAGGAGCTGATTTTTCTCCTAGTTTTGTATTTTGTGAAGCCTGTACTTGTGGCTGCTTTTGAGCTGGCGGTGGCTGACCAGCTGCATCGTGTTCAGTAGTTGATACGACTTGTCCCTTTTGCGATGGCTGTTGCTTTGGTGTAGCCATCCCCTGCGCTCCAGCTGACGTTGGAGTTTCAGCTTCCAGAGGCTCTTTTTTCTGAGCAGTTGCTTGAATGACCTCTTTCTGCTTGTCTTTGTTTTGCACAGGCTTCTGTTCAGAAGCAGGTTGAGAAACCTTGGCTGGTGAAGGCTGTGGTTTTACCACCGCAGGCCCAGAGGATTCAGACATCTGCAGGGCTCTGTGCATCTGGCAGTTTAGACAAAGCCACTCCTGTACCTGAAACAAGTGCAAAGACACAAACTGTTGATCAAAATATGGTACATTACCATTATGGTACATTATCTTACTGATACTGTTAGTAGATTTAAAAATGGAAACCAAAATGATATATACTAATATATAAATATGACCATCTGGATTTTAAATGAAAATTATAATCTACATGTTTCTGAATATTTAATTCATTTTTAATTGCCATTAAAAGCTACTATTTCACAGGCACAATAAGAAATGGTTACTGATGATCTCTCCATTTCCAGTTCAATCTAATTAAATTTGATTTATATCAGTGCCAAATCAGAAAGAAAAATCTCTCAGCACTTCAAAGATACAATCCAATTCAAGTTAATTATAATCAAATTCTTTGTAATGCTATCACTATCCAATCAACTCCAGGTCAATTTATTAGAAATATTCAGTCTGATCCAGTTAATAAAAAGGTTTCCTAGCTCTGGAAACCAGTAGATTGCATCAGTAAAGGTATCTGCACACAATGTTACAAATAGCTTACAATGACAGATCATATCATCCATAAACTGTCACTACTGCGATAAATGTCTACATTGAATTAAAATCATTTCACATCAACATATAAATGATGACAACATTTACTCTCATGGTGACATTGATTACCTCTGACATGTTTGGCATGGGGTTAAATCCACACTGGTTGCAGACTGTTGCCTTGCACTCTGTGCAGGTGTTGTAGTTTGGTGGATCAGTGGTGCCAGTGGTGAGCTGGATCTTACAGAGTGGACAAACAGACTGATCTGCCTTTAAGGCATGATGAGGGCCTCCTGGCTCTTTAGGTGGAACTGGTGGTGTTTTATCCACTTTGGCTTGTTCTGTTGAAGGAGTCTTATCCTGCTGGGGTTTCTCTGTTTTTTTCTCAGTCTTCTGCACAGGAGGTGATTTGGAGTCCTTTGTGGGTCCTGCTTTCGGAGAGGCTGGTGGTGTAGTTGTAGGGGTGACTTTATCCGCAGTGGACAGCTTGCGTGGAGTGGGTGGAGTGGTTTTAGGTTCATCCTGCACAGCTGAGGTTATCAAAGTGGATGCAGAGCTCAAGAAAGATGAACCAAACCCAAACATCTTCCCAGTTACAGACTCTGCAGACTTTGCTGGCGTAGGCTGTGTTTTAGGGCCACCAAAACCAAAGAAGCTTCCGGATTCCTGTTTTGCTGGCTGTACTGGTGGTTGTGGTGATTTAGCTGGTGACGTTCCAGTTTTTGGAGGCTGCTGTGAGGGCAGGTTTCTTGCTTCTGTTACTGGTGGAGGGGCGGGCTTAGCAGGAGAATCGATTTCTTTTGGAGACTGTTGTAAAGATGCCTTTCTTTTTTCTGGATCTGGCGCAGGAGCAGGTTTAGAGGAAGTGTCAACCTTTTGAGCCTGTTTCTGGGGTGCAGCAGGCTGTGCTTTGGGTATCTCAGAAGGTGGCTTTTGTGTGGCTGGTAAAACCTCAGCCTTTGTGACAGTGGGGGAAACACTTTTTTCAGGCAAAGTGCTGGTTTTAGGGATGGCTGTGAGCTCCTTCGATGGTGCACTAACATTGGTGGGTGTAGTATTTTCTGTTATACTAATGTTAGCAACGTCATTGCTAGCTGCATCTTGTTTTGGAATGTCTGCCTGGAAATCTGGGGTTGGGGTTTCTTTCTTTTGTACAGCTGCTGGGATTTCTTTGATTGGTGATGGCTGTGGTTTTATCATAGGCAGGCCCGGAGGCTCAGAAACTCCAAGAGCTCTCTGCATTTGGCAGTTGAGACACAACCATTCCTTCACCTGAAAAAGAAGCATAAATCATGGCTCAGTTAAGATTTGCATTGCTTCACAGAGATAGAGAGAGAGAGTGTGAGAGAGAGAGAAACAGAGAATTGTATTGTGTAAAACTGTGGTATTTTGTTGCAAATTAATTACCTCTGGTGCATTGGGCATCGGATTAAACCCACACTTGTTGCAGACAGTGGTTTTGCAATCAGTGCAGGTGTTATAGTTGGGAATATTTTTGGAGTCCATGTTGAGGTCCACCTTACAGAGTGGACAAGTAGACTGAGCCACTTCAGGTGTCATTTGGGAGACTTCTGTTTTCGCAAGCTCTGCTGGATCTTTCTGAACTTGGCTCTGTTCTGGTGTCGGAGCCTTAGCCTCCAGAGGCCGGACAGGCTTCTTTTCCAGATGCGTTTTCTGAATCTGATTTAGTTTCCCCTCCATGAGTGAGCTTCTCCTTGGGGAGAGTTGGGGGTTCAATGGAATTTGTCTTTCTGATGTCTTGTCAGACACTTGTGGGGCAGACATTTTGCGGGCCCTGGGTGTTGTCTGAGACTCATCCTGAACTGCAGATGTTATTAATGTCGACGCTGAGCTGAAGAGGGAGGAGCCGAATCCCAACACTTTTCCAGTCACTGCTGCAGTAGTTCTATTAGATTTTGGACTACCGATGCCGCCGAAACTTGCTGGCTGTGGTGGTGGGGGACCACTTTCAGCTGGTGTCTTCTCAACTGGGTGAGATTCTTTATTGAGTGCTTGTTGGTGCTGGACTTCATCTGAGGCCGTGATAAGCTGATCAGTCAATTTGTGAATTTTTTCTTGACTTTCTTCTGATTTCACTTTGGATGAATCAGTACCAATTGGAGTGGTCTGTTTGTCTAAAGTTTCAACATCAGCTGCCACCACAGAATCAAGTCTTGAAGTTTTGAGGTCTGAAACAAGTCCTGTCTCTTTGTTTTGAGGTACAGAGGACGGTGGAATATCTTTAACAGGGGGTAGACTACATTCTTCTCCCTTTGCAGAGTCAGAAACGACATCTGAAATGTCTTTCACAGCTGGTGAGGCAGCAGTCTGTGTTTTTGAATCATCCTGTTTCTTCTGTGGTACATCTTCTGGTAGACTGTCCTGGATTTTGTCTTTAACTCCAGCCTCTTGCTTGGAAATACTTTCTTTATTTTGATTGGCAGCTGCACTTCCAGGAGTGGACACTTCTCTGGGTTTCATTGATGGAGGCTGTGGGGATTCAGTTGCCTTAAGTGCTCTTTGCATCTGACAAGTCAGACACAACCACTCCTTCATCTGTCAGAGAAAAACAGAAGAGAAAAAAAAAATGTTTTTTATGTATAAGAAAAACGTAAGTGCAGCACATCATCACTAAATTTTTGCACTTTTAAACTGAAATTAAATTCACACAAAACAGTTTGTATGCATCATATGCTAGAAAATAACTGAAATATCCATGCAAGCCAGTCTTACCTCTGCTTCATTTGGTACAGGGTTAAATCCACACTGGTTACAGACTGTATTCTTGCATTCAGTGCAGGTATTGTAGTTTGGTGGATCCTTGGACTGCACATTGATTTCTGCCTTACAAAGTGGACATGTTGATTGCTGTGGTTTAACAGCAGCTTGTGAGGAGGCTCCTTCAGCTTTTGGAAGCCCTACAGGAGCTTTGTCTGATTTGGTCTGCACCACTGGAAGTGTCTTGTTCTGCAGCAGTTGTTCCGGCTTCTTCACCTGGGAAGCAGCGGAGTTGATCTCCTTCGCTGGAGACATCTTGGGAGAAACTGGTGGAGTGGTCTTAGGCTGGTCCTGGACAGCTGAGTTAATCAAGGTGGATGCGGAGCTGAAAATAGAGGAACCAAAGCCGAACATTTTCCCACTCACCGACTCGGCTTGCTTGTCAGCTTCTGGTTGAGTTTTACCACCACCAAAACCAAAGAAGCTTCCTGACTCTTTCTGTGGCACCGCGTTGGCATTACTCTGCTTCCGTTCAGATGGCTTTGTCTGCATAGGTGATTTGTCAGGGCCTGGTGGTTTTTGGTTCTCCTGTGTTTTTTTCGGAGATGGAACTGGGCCGGCTGGCTTCTGCTGTACTAGCTTGTTAGCGTTTGCAGATACCACTGGCTGTGCTGTAGTTGACAGCTTCCTCTGCGGCGATTGCGGTGCTGATGTCTCTTTCTTTTCAGGCCCAGCTGAACCTGTATTGTCTTTCTGTTGTGGTTTGGGAGGAGTCTGAGATTTGAGAGAAGTAACCCCTGGGGGCTGTGCTTCTCCGAGGGCCCGCTGCATCTGGCAGGTGAGACACAACCACTCCTTAACCTAAAAAAAAAAAGAAAAGAATATTCCCTTTAGTACTTCTATTTAATAATTTGTTAAAACACAGCAAAAACAAGGTTTTAAACAGTGTCAGTATTTAACAGTCTAGAAATAGTAATATGGAAATATGAATTAATGATCTTTAATGATTAATGATTTTTTAAAATCTGGACTCACTGCTGTTTCATTTGGCATTGGGTTAAATCCACACTGCATACAGACGGTATTCTTGCATTCAGTGCAGGAATTATAGTTCGGAGGATCTTTGGAGCCCATGTTGAGTTTGACCTTACAAAGAGGACAGGCGGATTGCCCCGGTTTGACTGATGCATCGGGCTTTGGCGCCTCAGATGGGACTTTGTCAACTTTAACCTCTTCTTTCTTCAACTGCTCTTTTGCCTGGGAAGCAGGCAATGTAGTGTCATCTGATTTTGGCTGTACAGATGATTTATCCTTTATTTGCTGTAGTTGCTCTGGTTTCTTTCCCTGTTCTACCTTCTGAGTCGTTGGTGATTTGGACTCTTTTGCAGGAGACATCTTTGGAGAAACTGGAGGAGTAGTCTTCGGCTGGTCCTGAACAGCTGATGTGATCATAGTGGACGCAGAGCTGAAAATGGAGGAACCAAAGCCCAGCATTTTTCCACTCACTGATTCTGTAGCTTTTGTAGCGTCACCTTTGGCATCACCAAAGCTTAAGAAGCCCCCTAACCCTTGCTTTGTTTCTGAGGTGGCATTACTCTGCTTACGTCCAGGTTGTGTTGCCTGATCTTGCACTTTCTCAGGAACAGGTCCCTCTTTTTGTTGTAGTTTTTTCTGATCAGGTTTTGGGCTAGCTTGCTTCACTGGAGCACCAGCTTCAGGTTTGTTTGATGGTGTTGATTGTTTTCTCTGTGAGGAGACCGGCACTGCAGGCTCCTGCTTTTGCTCCACAGAGTCTTGAAGATCCTTCTTTTTAAGAGGTGCTGGTTTCGAATTATCTGCCAACTGAACAGGAACAGGTGAAGGAACTTTACTAGGTGATGTCTGGGGCTTCACAGCGGGTGATCCTGGAGGCTCAGCAGCTCCAACAGCTCTTTTCATCTGACAGGTAAGACAAAGCCACTCCTTCACCTAGAAAACAATAGCCACTTAGTTACATGTCTTTTAAGGATTAGGAAATAAAATCATAAAACAAAAATATTTAAATACCACTACAAGATAGATGGTTTGTTATTAACATATAATAGTAGTTATTAAGTTTGGGGAAAACACAACTGTACTGATATTCAAAGGGGTGTAAAGTACATGTTATATTAAAAAATCAAAAGAGTATTTTGTTCCTGTACTAACCTCTCCACCAGGCATGGGATTGAAACCACATTGGTTGCAAACAGTGGTCTTGCACTCAGTACAGGTGGTGCAGTTGGGAGGTTGTTTGGAGCCGACGTTCATCTGGACCTTACAGAGTGGACACGTGGTCTGACCTGCATCTGGGTCTGCCCTCTGCTGTGGTGGAACTTTTCCCCCTTTCTCTTGTTGGGATTCATTCAGTTTCTTCTCTTCCTCTGGTTTCTGAGGAATGGTTTTTGGTTCTCTTGCTGGTGATAGTTTTGGAGAAAGTGTAGGTGTGCCTTTTGGGGAAACCTTAGGCACAGCAGACATCTTGCGAGAGACTTGCGCTGGTGCAGACATCTTACGAGAGCCCGGTGGGGTGGTCCGAGATTCTTCCTGAACAGCAGTTGATATCAAATTTGATGCTGAGCTGAAAATAGAGGAACCAAATCCAAACATCTTTCCACCCAAAGATTCTGTTGTTTTTGAGGATTCAGGCCCTGTTTTAGATCCACTCAGAGCGGGAGGTTTCACTGGCTCCTGTGGATGTGGTGTAACTTTGTGTTTGACTCCTGGTTGACTTCCCTGGTCAGCTAGTTTCTGAGTATCAGATACCCCTTTGATACCCAAAGGTGTTTTCTGACCAGGGGTCGGACTTCCTTCGGCAGCCTTAGTTGTAGGTGGCACTGCTGCGTGCTGCGTCTTCAGAGGAGAACTTTGTGTGGAGCCTGCCTGCTTTTGAACTGAGACCGGTACTGGAGTTTCTGTCTTCGTATCAGATTTCTCTGATTCTTTCTTTAAGCTTTCCTTCTGACTGGGACCTGTTATTTTCTGTTGTACAGATGAGGGAGGTCCACTTTGTGGTTTGGTGACTGGTCCGGTGGGCTCAGATGCACTAAGAGCTCTGTGCATCTGACAATTCAGGCATAACCATTCTTTGACCTACAAAACAAAATAAAAGATTAAAACATAAGTTAAAACATCTGTATTAGATATCTGCAGTTACATTCACCACCTAACTATTCAAGACAAGTGTTTTACTTTAAAAAGGCTGTCGAATGGATAGTTCTGTTAATTTTAGTATTATTACCTCTGATACATTTGGCATTGGATTAAATCCACACTGGTTACAAACAGTGCTCTTGCATTCAGTGCATTTGTTGTAGTTGGGAGGATCTTTGGAGCCAAAGTTGAGTTCCAGTTTACACAGAGGACAGGTATTCTGTCCTACTTTTGAAACATCCGGAGCCCCCCCAATCTTCTGAGGTCCAGCCGGGGCTATATCTGTTTTAGGTTGCAGTAGTGGTGACGTCTTGGGCTGTTGTGCTTGCTCTGCTTTCTTCTGTTCCGGCTTCTGGACAGGAGGCGTTTTCGATCCCACTGCTGCTGGCATTTTCGGAGAAAGTGGTGGTGTCTTTTTTGACTCATCTTGACCAGCCGAGGTTATTAAAGTGGATGCAGAACTGAATATAGAAGAACCAAAACCAAACATTTTGCCACCTAGCGATTCAGCAGGTTTTGCAACATCAGGCTGAGGTTTGGCGCCACCAGAATTTAAGAGCCCTCTCTCTTCATCTTGTTTACTCTTTTTACTTCCAGCCTGACTTGTCTGGTTTGGAGGTGTCTGGAGATCTGTCTTTTGGCCTTGCTGTTGAATTTTCTGACCAGAAACTGTGCTGGCCTGTTTCTGATTTTCAGATTCTTTCTTGACTTCAGTCATTGCTGGCTGCTTATCTAAATTTGATGTTTTCCTTTGTGGTGAGCCTGATGGTGAGGCCTCCTTGGATTTTACAGTTGTTGCAATGCCTTTCTGTTGAAGAGGAGTTTCCCTTTTCAGGGCACTGGGAGATGGAGCAGTTTTATTTGGGGAGGTCTGCAGCTTCATCATTGGAGTTCCTGGAGGCTTAGATGTCCCCAGTGCTCTTTGCATCTGGCAGTTGAGACAAAGCCACTCGTTTACCTGTAAAAAACACAAGAAAACAAATGTTAAGTAATAAGATCTAAGATCTATTTTGTTGCAGATCACCAAATTGAAAAGTGTTACCGGTATTGTTAAATGTTCTCATTGTTTTTCTGCAACTCCTATTAGAACTGTGCTCTTACCTCCTTTACATTTGGCATGGGATTAAATCCACACTGATTACAGACATTATTTCTGCAAGTTGTGCAGGTGTTGTAGTTAGGAGGATCCTTTGAGCCCACATTGAGTTCCACTTTACAGAGAGGACAGGCAGGAGGACCTGCTTTGGAGACAACCGGTGAAGCTGAAGATTTCTTTGGCTCTGATGGAGGATTGTCTGCTTTCGGTTGAACAGGTGGGGATTCCTTGGCTTGCTGTGGTTTCTGTTCAGGTTTCTTTACAGATGGAGATTTGGGGTTCCTTGCAGGAGACATCTTGGGGGAAACCGTAGGTGAAATTTTAGACTCATCTTGAACAGCCGAGGTAATCAAAGTGGAAGCAGAGCTGAAGATGGACGAACCAAAACCAAACATTTTCCCCGTCACTGACTCGGAGGACTTTCCAGCGTCAATTTGACTTTTAGGTCCACCGAATCCAAATAAGCTCCCAGACTCTTGCATTGCGGGGGTTCCCTGTTTCTGCACATTGGGAGCTGTCTGATCTGTTTGTTTCTGCTGTGCTGTCTTCTGAATCTGCTGAGGTGTTTTCTGACTAGGAGCTGGACTGACTGGTTTATGGCTTTCTGGCCTTTCAACCTTGGCAGGTTGTTCTGCTGATGTAGAGAGTTTTTTGTGAGGAGAACCTGGTGCAGGAGTCTTCTGTGGGGCAGGCTGCGATGCAGCAGCCTTTTTCGATGAATTGGCCGGAGATGTTTCTCTCGGAGGTTCAATTCCTCCAGCAGCTCGTTTCACCTGGCAGTTTAGACAGAGCCACTCCTTTCCCTTAAAAAAAGAAGAAATAATGTAAATAAACTAATTATATATACCATGAAGGTTTTAGGTGAAGTGCAACACAACCAAAACAGACAGTAGGCAGACAGTAGGCAGACTTTATGCCGACTCGTATGAAGACATCACTGGCCTTTTGATGCATTTTCAATGTTTATAAGCTATATGATGCAAGAAACACAATAGCCTCATACTTATGTTTTACTGTGTGTTTTCTGCACAAAATTTTTTATTTGATCAAATATGCTGAAGTTTCATATTAAGGAAATTATTATCTTATTACAAAAGTAAAACAATTATACAGCAGTGAATACTTTAGTATTAGTTTTGATTTAAAACTATCAAATGAAAAGAGTATTTCTGCATTTCTGCATTTCAATCCATAAATATTAAATCCTTCATTCATAAATCGTTACATTTTTCACAGCTCATTACTCTGTTGTTAGCCTTGAATGCTCCTTGGTAGATTTTAACTATGCATTGAATTACAGAGCTAGCGGAGTATGTAAGTGTTCAGTAACTTTACCATAACTGCAAAGCATCGCTACCACGTCCTTTATAGCAAACGGCCAACCAACAGTTGGTTAAAAAAACAGGAATACTGTGAGTCAAAATAGGAAAATAAACTTTTTAGCTCTAAAAAAGGGACTTTGGTCATGGTTCTGTGCTGTATTTGAGTAATCATCACTTTTGATAAATGAACAATAAATCAATATCTCATCAATATCTCATACAAAAATAAGTCAATTAATGTAGCAAAAATTACCATGAATAAATCCCAAAAACGCATGAGTCTTACCTCTTTAACATTTGGTATGGGATTAAATCCACATTGATTACACACAATGCTTTTGCATTCAGTGCAAGTGTTATAGTTTGGAGGGTCCTTGGAGCCCACGTTGAGAGACATCTTACAGAGCGGACAAGAGGATTGGCCTCCTCTGGGAGCACTGTGGGTGGTTGCTGCTGCCTTTGGAGCCTCCGTGGTAGATTTTTCCACTTTACTCTGTGTTGCTGGCTGTGACTTTGCCGGCTGAGGTTGGTCTAGTTTTTTGTCTTGTTCTGACTTTTGGACATGGGGTGCTTTAGGAGAAACTGGTGGCGTCTTAGGTTCATCCTGAACAGCAGATGCTATTAAAGTAGATGCAGAGCTGAAAATAGAGGAGCCGAATCCAAACATCTTCCCAGTCACTGGCTCTGTTTTAGCACCCCCAAAGCCAAATAAACCTCCAGACTCCTGTTGAGAAGCTGGGGTGGCACTGCTTTGCTTTCGTCCCATTTGACCAGTCTGAGGGGGCTTTTGAGATCCAGAGGCTCTTTGAATCTCAGGTGTCATTTTCTGAGGAGACGCTGAACTAGCAGGTTTTTGATCTGTTTGTCTCATTGCAGTTTCATCCTTGGCTGGCATCTTAATTGATTTAGACTGCATTTGCTGAGGTGAACCAGGTGCTGACATATCTTTTTTGACAGGTTCAGAAGTGGGTTTTGTCGAGGATTGTGGAGCAGCAGTTTTGTTGGGTGACAATTTTTTTGTGGCGGGTACAACCGGCTCAGGAGTTCCTTGAGCTCTCTGTATTTGGCAGGTGAGACAAAGCCACTCGCGACCCTATGTAAAAACAAACACACACACAGAAATGTACATCGTTAGAATAAAACAAATAAAAAAGTGTGCATCAAGTAAAATAAAACCTAAGCTCTAAAAAACATACATCAGCACCAAATACATAACTTTGAAAACTTGATAAAAAATTACAAAGCCAAATGTTTTAATACGGGCAACAAATGAACCAGGCAACAGCTCAGATCTAAACATAATAAAATATAATCATAGATGCTTAAATGCTGCATTATAGCTACAGTTTGTGTCAGTCTGTGTCAAAGAATCTTCTGATTAAACTAAATGTGAAATAGAAAAGTGAAGAAAAAATAGAAAAATCTAAGAAAATCTTTGAGAAATAAATTGGGAAGCCTTTACTTACATCGGAGTCAGGGGGGCTGAAGCCACACAAGCTGCACACCTCAGTTTTACACTTCGTACAGGTTTTAAAGTTAGGTGGTTCTTTCTTCTGCATATTCAGTTCTGTGGTGTTGCACACTGGGCAAAGGGATTTGGTGGCTGTTTTTGACTGAGATCTGCCTTTATTTGCTCCTGGTGATGGAGAACCTGCTGGCGTCAGATCAGGCGTGCCTGGTCCCCCGATACCTTGTTGTTTTCCAGAAGGCTGCAGCTGAGGTGAGGCCCGGGCTCCTTTTTGCTGTTGTCCCACCTTTGCTGAGTCTTGCTGCTGTCCAATTTTAGGGGACTGCTGCTGTTGCTGCCTTGAGTCTGTTACAATCTTTGGGGATCCTTGCGGCCCGGGTGTTGTAGATTGTTGTAGCTGTGCACCGGTCTTAGCGGGGCCCTGTTGAATCTTTGTCTTAGGTGGGACCTGCTGTTGTGACGATGCCTTTGGAGATTCTGGCTGTGAACCACTCTTGGTTGGAACTTGTTGTTGAACTCCAGGCTTCGGTGAACTCTGCTGCGACGGGCCCTTGGGTTGTTTTTTGAGGGATTCTGCCCCCGTATTTGACGTCGCTTGTTGTCCCGCAGGCTTGTTCGTGGGTCCAGCCTGTTCGTTACTTTGCAGCTTCGGTGATCCTTGCTTCTGAACAGGCTGAGGCTTTTGCCCCGTGGGCGTCTGCTGTTGTTGAGAGTTTTTTCCAGGGCCCGCTCCGGGCTGCTGTTCTCCAGATGGCTTCCTCCCCTGCTGCGGAGGGGACTTTTTGTCCCCCTCCCCGTCATCTCCAAACAATCCGAACTTGTTCACAGCAGAGGACACCGCATTCAGGGGGTTGGCCCCGCTAAGAAATTTGGAGGAAAACATTGCTGGATCCTCTTCCTCCTCTTCCTCCTCCTCCTCGTCCTCCTCTTCCTCCTCGTCCTCAACTTCCTCGCAGGAGCTGGAATCTACAGGACTGTCGGAATCAGAGCAGGAGTTGTCCGCTCTCTGTCCAGGCTCTCCGGCAGAGGCCTGTGGTGTGGCTGCACCTGTAGCGGGGACATCTACAGCCGCTCTGCTGCTGCTGCTGCTGCTGCTGCTGCTGCCCGGGCTCTCCTCTGGCTCCGCATCCACATCAGACTTCCTACAGGCAATACGCGCAAAGAGAAGAGGGAGATGAGCAAATAATAAGCCAAGGAGAGTTAATGACAGCCGTAGAATTCCATGTGAGCCAATCTGTTATATTGTTAAACAAACAATAGTGGCATACTTAATAATGGTGACATGATAAGGAAAGCAGAAAATATCATTCTCCATCCATTCATTAACCGTTGTTGGCCTTTTATCCGCAAATCATCTCTCATTCCTAACCTTAACCGACCACCAATGTCTCATAATATATTTGATGTTCATCGAATTTGTTCTTGAATAAATGTGCCTTGCGCTATGTTTGAACAATATGGATTGGACACAAAAAACAAATAAATAGCAATTCATACAAATAAGCCATTTTGTATTTGATCCCATGTCGGTTAGGAGCATGGACAGTCTCAACAATCACCCTGCTTATGTTGCTCATTTATGAAAAAAACCTCATGCCCAACGGTGCGATAGAGAAGCGGCTCCACAAGCCCGTTTCATATACCTAGTTTACATTTTCCTCCACCCTAAAGGGGCTTCGATGCTCATAGTCCAACTGGCGCCGATTGCCCAGGAGTGGGAAATCTCATGCAGGACATGTTTTACAGCAGTACGACGAGTAAACACAGGAAATCTGGCGCTCTCTCTGGAGAGACATCCGGGTAGAGGCTCTTAAAATAATGCATGTAAGTGATAGTTTTCCATACGAAAGCATCATCAAGGGGGAGAGCAACTATCTCTCTAAATGGGCTGTCACAGCTGGATTAAGCCGCAAACGTCCAGGCCAACTCGCCACAAGCAATGCTGTATGAAGGCAAATCTGATGTATCTACAGCTCCTAATCTAAATGGGAGAAAAAAAACGCCATGCATAACGCCAGACCATTCCAAATCGGATAACGTGTCCGTACGCAGAGTGATGACAGGTCCAAGCACACGGTGTGATAAGAGAGAGGAAAAACACATTTTCACCTATTTGCATGCCCTTGAAGAAGCGTTTATTCAGATTCGGAAACAGTCCCAAGGCGCAACTAATCGAAATTATTTCAGAAACCTGCGTAAAAAAAAGCAAACAAATTCACCTAAAGCTCTGTCACCGCTGTCATTTCGCGACACACCATCTGTTTTGTGCTCCGTGTCCCCGGCTCATTCCCTCCCATCCTGCAGCCGAGCATCCTTCACCCTCCGCGGTCACAATGTCAAACACGAAGGCGCCACGATCGAGTCGAATCGGCTGAAGCTGTACCTTCCTCAGCAGCCCACCGGGCTCCCCGTTCTCCACAGAGCCGCTCGGAAACCCCCGTTCCCGTGGATGCCTATCGCCGGGGGGATGGAGGGCACAGGGCAGCGGATAGCGCGCAAGCACTCCGCCTCCGAGGCCAGTGCGCAGGCGCCGCATCTGACAGGTGATCATAATATATATCACGCACGGAAATTGTAATTAAAGGGGACAAGCGATTTATTTCCTTTAGAGTCACGTGTGATCAGTATGTGGAGAGCACGAAGTGTGATCTAGTGCCTATTTTTCAGTGGCGTGACCGTATTTGAAATGTCATCGTGGTGATGATGAGTGGACAGAGGGAAAGGGTAGGCCACACTAGCAACATCAGGCCACTTTAAATCGCATTCCGCACGATTGCTTGCATTTCCAATTCAATAAGGTGATGGTCAGTGTTATGTTGTTTACTTCTCTTAATTCGTTTGGATACAAGTCGATATGAAACTCCCAGAGTTATAAAGTCATTTTAATATTGAATTAATAACTTGTTTTGTGTTTTTGATGTCATTTTTCAGTCAGACATAGGCTATTCACATGTGTTCATGTCCAAGTCAGGACATCACTCATTAAAGAGGCAACCTACAAGTCGTATTTGTCTTTATGAGAGCATTTGCCAATCTGATGTGATGAAAGCAACCTAATCTTGGAGATACACTGATGGATTTATTATCTTGCTTATCTTAAAATCATCCACCTGCCAATCACTCAGTAGCAGCATGGTATACAGAGTACAACTGAACAGAGATCATTGCATGCCTCAGGATTTCTAATTTACCTTTTTATCTCTGTTTGTATATTTATAAGACTAACAGCTTAGTCAGTTTTGTCCTGTTGTACACAATTATATTTAGGGGGACTTTCTGTTTCAATGCTAGTTTATTTTTTATTTTTATGTAGCTGATAAATCAGTGGTTTTTAAATTGCCTGTATATTCAAAGCCTCATATTACATGAATATACCCTCAGTATTATCCCTTAATGGCAGTTTAATTTTTTGCTTGTATTCTATTTGATAGATGATTTAGAATGTAGTACCATTTTGGATATTGGATGAAAAAAAAAAATTCATCAGCTAGATTGCATCAAAGGAAATTATTTCACTTTCATCTGTCACAGTGGATTGTCTCCACACTAACATCCAAATTTTACTCAAAGCTCAGAATAAATAAAAGCAAAGTCAATGTGCTGCTGGGAGCGTGAGTGAGATGTGTGGGAAGAATGGAGAGCAAGTGTTGTGTGGGCGTGTGGAAGAGTTACGTCATTTGTGATGCGTGAGCAGCAGAATCGCTACAGTCTCTCTTTAGAAAGCACCAGATTTGGCTTCACTCACACACACACAAATATGCACAGGAAACATTCATCAGCACAATCTCCATCTGGGTATAGAGGCTGTACTTTTTTTCTGTGGTGTCCCACAAGAGCCTGGAATCCACAAACCAGCCTGGTCAGCCTGAACTCACGACAGTATAAATTTTCTCATCACTTTATCACAAAGTTTTGGTAAGACAGAGCATAGGGACCGGTAATCCTTTGAAAAGACATATTTATAAGCATCAGCATGGATTTAAACAAAATTATCATCAGTGTTTTTTCTTTTGTTTAGTTTTTTTGCCTCCTTCACCACAGGAGAGCTTTACTTTTCTGTCCACAGTATTATGTAAGACTCAAAGACAGGCAATCACCAGATGTGATGCTGTCATGTTGTTTTTCTTTTAATCCTCATCCTTGTCATCACAGTCTTAAAATTCCTTTTCCTTTTTCTCCCTAAATACTGATAACAGCACAGCAGACTGAAATTCCATTTTAACACAGCTAAAGCTTCATAGATTTAGTTCTGTCACACGGATCATTGTGGCGTGAAAAAGATTTTAAACTTTGCATTGGGGTAAGTTAAAACTTGCATAATAATACATACAATAAGTCCAAGTCATGAACAACATTAGCAACTCTGCATCTTTGTCTGTGGTGCCATTTTCAAGATGTTTGGACATAACATCAATTACTTGAGCTGTTGCACTGAGCAGTCTTATAAAGTCATGGTTTATAAATAGATATTTATATTGACTTTGGATGAATATCATCTAATTAATTACAGGCCAATGGAAATGTTTGTGTTTCCAGCTTGAATGAATTACAAACACATCATGCTGTGCAACATGAACTGAAGGTAATTTCCATGGAGAGAAACCTTTCCAAATTGAGGTTTGGGGGTTTGACACTTATATAGGAGAAACACAGAGTACACAGATCACGAGACATGCCAACACATTCATAAGTAGTGTCGGGTGACGTGGCTGTGACCTCAGGTCTTGCAGCAGTGCAATCCATCAGCTAACAGAGGCAACCTATTACAATACTGCTTCTACAAGCGAATGGCATTACATTTTATCTCGTTTTGTTTTGCAGGCACTTTTATTCAGGGCAGCTTATAGATGCATGACCACTTTGAAGTAAATCTGATATTTCTGACCAATACTTTGGCTGGGATCTCTTATTAATGCAAACTCATCACTGTTCTTGTTTTTTCCCAAACAATAATTGAATATGTCACAAGAGGCATTTAAAGTCCACACCCTCAAGGCCTATTTTCTTGGTAGTACTGTCCTCTATGTTAATTTAATCATACTCAATTCGAAAGGCATACAATACAACATTTTCCCTTCTCTCTCCAGCCCTGAGCCTGATACTCCCCCACACACATCTCTTAGTGTCTCTCTGTAACTTTATTTGTCTTTCTCGTATTCAAACCAGCTTGAATGAACAAAGCACAAAAGCAATACTTATCTCCCTCTTATTTTAATTAAACTCACATACTAGTGAAGTTTCTAATGCTGTTTCTTACCGACACAAATCCAATCCAGTCAAACTTTATTTGGATAGTTCTTTAAAAAATACATTTAGCCAAAATGCTTCACACAGTTAGAAACCAAAGTCCCAGTGAAAGCCAAAACCTCAACTAAAAGCCAAGCTAGAGAAATGTGTTTTAAGAGAAGACAATAGGTGAGCCGGGCGACCTATAACAATAACTCAATCTATAGTTTCGCAAAATGCAACTTCCAAGTCAACAACCTCCAGTTACAGAGCAGTCACCATTTTACAACCATTAAAGGGACCAGTTTGTAAAAACACACACCTCTGACGTTGACCCTTGAGAAAGGCAAAGCAGTTTTTCCCCGGCATAGTTTTCTCTGGAGAAGAGCAGTGTGGAGGAGTAACCTGCTGGGAAGTATATTGCTGTCCTCTCCAGGTCTCTAGGTCTCTGTGCCTGAGTTTTTTTTTTTGCAGGGCTAACAGGTAATCTATACAGTAACCTGATCACACACTCTCTGCCACTGTCATTAAATTTACATATCTGCTATGAGAAGGGGAAAAATATGGACTTGCTAAGCATCCACAATACATGTACCCACAATAAGATGTCATGTGCATTTAAAAATATAAAATATTTTTTTTCCTTTTTTTGGCTGAAATTTAGATTGTGGCTTGGATACTTAAAGCCAAACATTTTCACATTGTAGATGTCCCTTGACTGTCCCTGATGCAGAACTGGAGTGTCTGCAGATAGCATTTTCAGCCTGCTGTGTGTCTCTTAGGAGAGTTCCCTATTCTTCACTCAGCATCGTCCTACAGCACTCAGCTAGCCTCTTCAGCCAGCCAGTCCTTTTTCCTGGTGAGTGACCACTGCTATCTCCCATACTAAAAATACTCTTAAAGAAACAGCGTAGACAAGAAATCCGCGTAGCCCTATCAAGCTTTTTTTTCTCCTCACCAGCCCCTCCCTGTGCTGTGATTTCATTTGAGAATTCACGAGATAAAAACAGTTCATGACCCAAAATGCCATGGATCAGTGTGCAGAAAATTGTTGCAAATTAGTCAGGGCAGCAAGACAGAAAATAGTAAGAGAGAGACTGCATAACATATAAGTACAAGTGGAAATAAGAAACCTTGGCTGATTAATGTTAGAAAAACGTAACACATAAGTCAAGGTCAGTTTAGAGGACAGGAACGCAGAGTAAAAGCCAATTCATTTATGCCTCTCTGAAGGTTTAGAGACCATAGCTATATTTGCTTTAATGTTAATTAAAGCCTTTATCAAGGATGGACAATTCCCATCTGTCCTCCAGGCAATGGGAAGATATTTCCCAGACCCGTGTCATGTTTGCAGCAATTCTCTTACCTTATAATTGCAAAGGCAAGGTTATATTTGTATAATATTGGTGAACAATTAAACAATTCAACCAAAACTGAATATCAATCCAAATGTAATGGACCCGAAAAATGTATACATCTCTAATATAAATTCTGATGATGTTATCAAATGAACATCAAATGTTTCAGAATGAGTGATATGTGTCTAGACAGCAGGCTGTATATAATTGAAGAGGTGTAAAAGAAGATGGGGTTTTAAACTACGTACAACCTTGCCAGTGTACAGTGCGGGAGGAAGCCTTTGAAATACATACAGGGGCTGCACTTTAAAGGCATATTTTCTTTATAAAAAATGGTGTATTCATCTCTAGCACATGAACGCAGGTTTGTGTCAAATTCTAAAGGAGGTTAAAGTGGTGAGACAGTAGCAAAAAGGCATGTCCAGCCAGGGAAAATTAAATGGAAAGAAACTTTGAAATATACTGCACATCTATTAATAAATGTTTGAGAAATGCCCCAGATCCACAGAGAATGGAAAGTAAATTACTGGAGAAGTAAGGTGTAATACTACAGTCTCAAGATGGGCTTTCCTCAGATTCTCTTAGTTCTATTCTCTCACTACTTGAAAGCTACTTGTGAATTAATGAAGATGACTCTGGATCTGTGCAGTCCAGCATGCATGCATCCAAATAATCTTTAAAATAAAAACCATGGAGAATTACAGGCATCCATTTCTGCTCTACATATTATCCGGGAGTAATGCAGAACGCCCCAATATCACCTTCACTGGCACCTGCCTGGTGTAAAACTGTTAAGCAACAAGGCGGCTGTTCCATCTGCTGCATGCATGTGTACACCTGGGCATGTCTGCCTGTGTGTGTCCGTGAGTGCGTGTGCGGCTGAGTACGCACACTGTACTCAACCTGCCCAGGGAGAGGATCCGTTCTCTCATCAAATATTCACCAGCAACCGCAGGCTCCCAGCTGGCTGCTGCCATACTACACACATATAGCTGTGGCATTGACTCCTGATGAATTCACCGAAAAAAGTGCCTCAAAAAATGTTGAGAAAAGTCTATGTTTGAATTTAAAAATTTACAAAGCCCTTGTTATGGGTAAGCATACTTTATGAGTGAACATCAGCGTTTTCATGCATGCTTTATGAACATTATGCATCTCTTTCATTTGATTTATTTTTAATGCAACAATAACAACAATTCCTGAAAAGAAATGTGCAAAAATGTGACTCAGTGGCCTTAAAGTGGTAGAATGATCAATCTGTCTTCAAACTGAGGTCATGTTATATGCAGCTTTGTGTTATTTATTAATACACCAACATTCAAACAATACCCTGGATTATTACTGAGAACAATATGTGTCAAAGTGTGAAAATATCAACCCCTGATTACAAACTTGTGTCCACTCACCTTTGTTTTGGCAATATCTATAATTAAATATAATTATGTTATAAGAGGACTAGATTTCAAAGTAAAGTATAACTGCTGTGTAGTTGACCATTTAGAGAAATATATTTGAACTAATTTCCAACACACTTTAGTTGTACTTTGCAAAGATGTTTTTCTCAGTGTATGCTTGATGGCTGCAGTCTTTTAAAATATGTTTTACAAAGCATTAGTGTCTAAAAGACTATTTAAACATATATATGCAAACAACATAAAGGTGGAACAGTCTGCCTAAGACAGTCGTAAAACCTGTTTTTCTTTCTATTGATAATTTTGCCTGTAGCTGTAACATCTGTTACACCTGTTTTAATTAATTCCCTGATTACTTTTAGTTTGTAGAAGTAATAAGATATTCAATAGGTTCTGTGAATGTGTGTGCTGTTTGTTGTTTAACAATCGTAGCCAGCTGTGGGAGCTGAGAGTGCAAAGGTCGGGGTGATGTAATGAGAAGGCTGCGCGGATAAAGGGTGGGATTAGAGGAAAGAACAACTCACACAGGGGCGCAAATGTAGTGATTACACCCAGCTTAATGACACAGCATTCGCCGCGTCACAGTGGTGTGCACACGCTCGTGACCTGCATGTCACTTTTAGCGAACAACATATCCATCAGTTCCCGTAGTCATGGAGACGTGCGCTTCTACAAATTGAATTTCTTTTCAGTTCTTCAGGTTCAAATTTACTCCAGTGATACAAACAAAAGTATAGTATAGTCACTTTTTTTTTTTACTATCATGCTTAGCAGAATCAGATAATTCAAACTCACTTGCAGAGACTGTCCTCTCCAAAAAATGCATGCATTGCATTTTTTTATGCAAGCAGATAAAGAATAGGCATTATGTTGAGTTTTGGGTTTGTAAAAATGGTATCTGTGGTATGTGCTTGTAGAAAGAATATTTTGACTTTTTTACCATGATTGTTTGCTAGGCCTAAACAAATAACAAAAGATGGATATGTTTTGAAAGTGTTATCGAGTTTTATGTAGAAGAGCCAATTTACAGAACTATAGCCGTAGATCTGTAGTAGAAAGTGCTGCACTTAGTGTTCACATGATTTGTATTTGCCCCCTGCTGCTTGTATGGGTGGTACTTTATGATGCAGTAATGAGTCATTTTGAGAGATATGAACAAACGTCTTAGAAGAATGTCTATTAGAAGACTTTGTGGATGTGTATCTATGTCTTTACCCATATCTGGTAATTTTCTTGGCAGTTTTCCAGTCCAGGTTGCCAGCACCAGGAGAGGCAAAGCCCCAAGGGAAATAAATAGAGAGAGTCTCATTACACACCCTTTTGGGTACATGTTCCCCCATGTGTTCCCTTCCCCCAAACCCCCCTCCTTCCTCTTACTGCTTCATTCACTTCACACTTTCTTGCTCACTGACTCATTCTGCCTTTTCCTCTAGCTCTGAGTAGAAGGGAAAAGCTAGATGATCTACACCCCCCATCTTTTTCAGTCCCTTGCCTGTCCCCTTTAAGTCTTTTGTGTCCTGTGAGGTATGAGTGCCATGGGAAGCATCATAGGATGATGGGTGGTTGGCTTCATTTCTACATGTACAGAGATACAGAGGTCCTCTGAGGATTCATTGACGAAAGCACAGACACTACGTCCAGTGAGTCATGCTGAGAGTGGAGTCAATTTTTAATGATCTTCTATATGTTTTGCATTTGATTTGTAAAAATGTGTGGCATGTAGATTTATGGTTCTTAAATGAAAAATGAATAAAAAATAATTAGTGATCAGTCCAACCTCTCTATCTAATCATTATTTAACATTTTGGCTGCCCAGGGAAAAAATACTGTAGGCTACCTCTCGGAGAGCTTTATCTGTGAGTTAAGACTTAGTCCATGTTGACACAAAACTCTGTATGTGCTGCATTTTATTTTTGTGTCATCTTGTATATTCTGGGTACATTGTACATTTTTCCATCATAGATAATTAAACATTTTTAAATCTTTAAACGTAAAATTTTATAAGCCCCCTTTTAATTTTAGTAATTATTTCAAGTAATTATGAAATATATTAAATATGCCTTATTTGAGTATTTCCACAGGGGGAATGAAATCTATTGTTTAACCAGACAGAAAGTCCTCCAAGGAGCAAGGTAGGGTTGCTAAATTGTGCAGCTAAGCTTCAACAGCCTTTATGAGACGTGAGATTGAGACCAAATGAATGACATCTGAAACATAAAAGCAAAACCGCTTTTTTCAGAACCTTTCTCATTTTCAGTATAATCTATGACAAATATGCGTTGCACACACAGAATTCTATAATTTTTATATACCTGTTTATTTTACTTTATTTTCAGGTCACTGGTATCTTGTAAAGAGCCACCAATCATTGCTTGTGCTTCTTTTCAAAGGGATGAAAAGCAACTGTGACGAGGTGATTGTGTCTATTGTTATCTAGATTTGCTCTTTTAAGTTAATTTAAACAAACTGAAATCTGTGAACAAATCATTTTCTGTCTGCTCAATGTAGCATAATATTACCGTTAAATGAACCGTAAAAACCCAAAAGATTTATTTTGTTCCCATCTTTTCTTTGACAGTATTTCTCATTGTTTAGTCATATGTGGATTTTAGATACATTCAACGGGTCAAAGATATTGCTTTATTATTTAGAGATAAATACAGAATAAATATGGCCCAGTTAAGTAGAGATGTTTCTGTAGTATTGAAATGGGAATTTGATGGGGCCGTTTTAAAAACACAATTTTTTTTTGCAAAGATGTATTCATCAAACAAAATGTGATCATAGTTTGTATGTATGAACATTTCCCTACACACCGATACAGCGTATCGAGTATTAGCTTTAGCAATCTGTTTATTTTCCAAGAACCTCTGCCTCCCTCTGTGACATTTACACGTGTAATAAAGCTTTCTAATGCACTGAGTTCTGAAAAAGAGAGATAATTGAGAAATACAGAAAGCACTTTCATCTTCACAGTCATAGAATGATGGGCGATAGACTGCTCATTGAGATTTGGCCTTTGACCTGTTCAGTCCTCTGTAGATCAATGTAAAATATTGTAACATCTCATCACATTATGTCTTATTGAACCTCAGGATCTGAGACTGCGGTAAAATATGTGCAGCTCTTGTTTAAAGATTAGAAGAGCTTAAATTCATTTTACACCCACGTGTAAAGGTAAAAGCTAGCATTAATCCCAGAGAAGAGGAAAGGCATCTCTGAGCTAAGCTAACACTTTTACAAATCATTTTCATTTTACTTTGCAATATGATTAATGGGTAACTACTAGCGACCTCTGGCTGAAGGGACCCTGGCAGGAGATCAACATTTGTTCAAATTGATGGTGAAAGAAGGGGAAGCTTTGATGAGCACGATAGTCAAACTGGTTCACAGCCTGTTGCTATGGTAGCCATGAGGAATAAATCTCAACCATGAATTCCATTCTCAAATGCCTTCAGCACCCTGTTGATTCGAGGGGACCAAAACAGAATATGAATGAGAACAGTGTCCTAGTATGAAGCACTCAGTGATGATGGAGAAGAACTACATATTAAGTGTTTTGGATTTAAAAGGTCAATTTTTTAACTGCATGAAAGTTGAACAAATAAATCTGTGGCTTTTTCATCTTGTCACATCATCCCTCTTTAAACATGCACATACAAACACACACATATATACATATATATATATATATGCAACATGCAAATTAGAAAGCTATTTTGTTTCATAATTTCTAGAATACAGTTTTTATTACAGAAGATTTCCATTTGACAATTTTACTACACATGGACTCTGTACGTATGTATGTGTGTGGTATGTGCCATACTTTGAGACATACTTTGTCATTTATCTGCCAAACTACAGAGGTGAAAGCTGGGACGTTCTTTTTTTTTTTCCATAGCAGGCATTCATAAAAGGTACAGCAGACATAATATGTTCATTAAAAGTCTTAGCTGAAGAAAACAATAGCGTTATAATGAAGATGATATAAGGTCTTGACATAGATGAGGTGCCACATTATGAATACAGTTTAGACAGTCAAAACAGTCAAGTGTGAAAATGAACAAACAAATAAATAATGCATGGTATGAAAACATAAACAATCCCTGGGCTTGGAGTACTGGACCCACAACACTGTCATTCACTGTTTTTGCCATCTCAAGATTAAATGAATATTCATAAGACTCACTTTTGCCAATGACATGCTTGGATGGTCATCCACTTATTAGCACTTATTTATTCTGAGGAAAATGAGGTGTCGTACATTGCTATTGTGATGATGATTATGAATCCCATCTGCAACATCACTGACAACAAACAAGGGGAGGCTGGAGGAATACCAAGGGAATAAGAGGCAAATGAGGGAACAGCAAGAAAGAAAAACAAAGGCTAGCCAGTGGAAAGAAATATATTTTGAATACAGAGCTATAACATATTGAGGAGCACAAAAAGAAATCCAAGAGGAAGATTAAATACAATTTACATTGTGTTAATTTGATCACAACTTCTGTCATAATAGTAGCGATTATGTTGTTTATATATTCCTGATAGAGCATTTTTTCCTGCTGTAACATGTTTTGCGAGTGCTCTAAATAGTAACGATGTTCTTTAACGATGTTCTGAAATATTCCATATATCACAATAGTGACACCATAGCTCTAATTGTCATGGTTGCTGTAACAACACATCGTTATTCGTGATTGCAGTATTATCAGAAATTCAAAGAAATTTCACTGTACAAAAAGAGCGATACGGCTTTCCACTTTTGGCCATGATTCAAAGTAGAAGCAGAGAAAATAAGTTATCATCATACCAAAAACCATACCAGAGTTAGTATTTTTTTTATCATATATACAGTAAGAGTTTGTGATATCCTGCCATTCACAGAGGTCGAGCAGAGATTTACTGAGACAATCTGTGCTTTGTGATGAACAGCAGGCTTTGGCTGGGTAAGTCCACAGGAACTGTTGGGTTTCAATGGAACTGATTAAAGGCAGCGTTACTTAATCTGTTGTCCATCTGTCCAGCTGAGGTCTTGGCTCCATACTGACAGTGATGTTCATAGTTTTCACCCAAGAGCTGCACCAAATGATAAGTATAAGACTTGATTTTTTATCTGAGCAGAAGCAATGAATGGATCTACAGCTGCGAGGCATCCTGCTCCGGTTTTTCTGCTGCGCTTCTCGTTGAAAGATAAAACAAAAACCTTTTACATGTTGTAAAGGGGGAGTGAGTCTGACCTTTAGACACCGTGTGTATGTGAGTGTGTGTGTGTGCACTGAGTTTGTTCTCCTCAGGTATCAAAGGTGTGCCTGGGAGCTCTGTGGGAGTTTTCCTCTCCCTTTCGTTTTCCTCTCCTCTCACTACTCAGAGGAACATACTTCCTTTTGGCTTTTTTACGTTTCTTATCAGAGCACCACACTCTCTCGCAGTACTCCTCCACTTTCTGAGCATCACCATAGCCAATTAGCTGCAGGAACTCCTTGTACCACTGCCGGGAGCTGTGGACTGGCACCGAGGGTGGCACCAGAGATCTGGGGCCGATGCCGGGTCCCATGGCCGAGTGGCATGGAGCTTCAGCTTTCTGTCCCTCTCCGTCCTCAGTCATGTGGATAGCTGACTCCACCCTGTCCCCTCTAAGCACGTGTAGACTGATCCGTAACAATGTGTGCACATATCCGTGCTCCACAGTCTGGCACACATACACGCCAGCATCGGAGTCTCTCACATGCAAGAACAGCAGTCCGTGGGGGGTCATGATGACACGATCATCACCTCGAACCTACATGGAAGGAAAACGAAAGGAGAGCAGTTTCTTCCTGCAAATAATTCATGACATTATCATTTGAGTTAAGAAAATTCAGGCATTTGTGGGATTGTTTTTGCATCAGAAGAGTGAAGATTGATTTATTCTAAAATAACAGGCGTACTGACAGCAGCAGTCGAGCATTTCCAGGTTCTGCTCTTTAATTGAATGCTGAAAAAAACATGATGCTCATTCAAATTTCCATATTTACTTGCACGGATACGTATTTCAGACTTACCTCATGTTTTTCCTCTCCTTTTTGTAAGAACCAGAGGACTCTGGCTTGAAGTGATCGAGGGACACATTCCAACAAAGTACTGTTTTTCTCAACACTGTACACTCGCCTCTCCTCAGCTCTCTGCCATTGTTCAACTACACACAAACAAGTCATAAAAGATTGTGAGGCGAGATCAGTGGAAATGGACTGCACTGACCTTTCATTAGATGGCTAACATAGAGCAGATTGCTTTTTTGCCACATTCTGACCTCACACTGATTGCAACATACAATGACAACTGAAGAGCACTTTGATCTCTTTTAGTCTGTGTGGCTTTCAATACATTTTTATCTGAGTTTAAAAAAAATGAAATGCCTATAAATACGCTGAAGCATCACTAACCGTCAATTTGCAACCCATTGCACAGCTGTACAGCGTTGCCATGGCGAACATCCTGTCGCCTGAACCTTCTGCTGCAAAGGGAGGAGGGCAGAGAATTAACCAATTTGAAAATGTGAGGAAACAATCAACAATCAAGACATGTGATGAATATAAGTGAGAAAGTGAAAACAAGAGACAGACGGATATAAAGATAGAAAGGGAAAGGGGGTGCTTTAGAACACACTGACAGCCTGGCATAACACTGCGCTTTCATGTCTCTAGGTGTCTGTGACACTGACTAGATAAAAGCGTTAGAATATTGCGACTTCTATAGCAAGAGGATCTGTAGAGAAGCTGACATCGGCCACAAAGATCAGCACTAAGAACGTGTTTGCTGTTACCTCTTGGTGTAGACTCCAGCTGGGTAGTATCTGGAGCATGTCAGACCATCCCAGGCACAGTATGGGTCTCTAGCCAAACAACAATCTGCACACTCTGAACCATAGAGGTCACACTGATGCAGTCTGATCTGGGCGACACCCATTTCTGAGGCCACATATAGTTGTTGCTGTGGAAAAAAATATATGGAACATTGCTGGATTAATGTAATAGATTTTATTTATTCTTTCTCTTCCTCATCCAACTGGGCTACTTTATAAGTAGGGTATAGTGTCTCTGAACGGTGTCTGTACTTTACAAAGTAAAATGTTTCAACATTGACATCTTGTGGTTAAATGGCAGAATTGCAGAAATTTACGCTGATGACTCACCCTTTTAGGTGATATTATGATCTCTGTAATTGGTGCTGGCACCTGCAAATGGGGAGTAAATAACAGTTATTTAAAATGTATTTGAATCCAATTAAATCATAGTTCTTTATCATTGTGAAATCATGCACATTTAAAATTAAGGTGACAACTGTATGTACAATTCAATCTAGCCTGTGCCTCAAAATGAACACTTAACCCCTTTCAATGATGGATAGAACATGAAGAAGTCATTTAAGCCTTTGGAGAGTTTCTCTCCAATATTGTGACTGCTCCAGAGCTCAACAAATATCTGTGTGATAAATTGTGGTATTTATTGTATGATTCAGAGACCTATCTTGGCTTGCAAGCTCCATTCATGATTATTTTGCAGTCACATGCAGGATTGCATGTGTGAAATGATTTAACTACCATTTCAATTTAGTCTGCAGCCTGTTCAGTCTCCTTGGTCCAGCAGCCTGGTAGGTTTTTCACTTAGGCACTTGTATAAAGAAACTATACAACACTGAATTAGTTCTGTGTCGAAACAGAGGGGCTTACTCATAGAGTCATCCCTGATACTAATAAGTAGTGGAGATGGTGTGATCAGGAGCAGAATACAATACATCACCTCTGTCTTTGAGTTTAAATTAAAATATATATATATATATATATATATATATATATAGTTTACCTTGAATACTTGCAGTTCCTCCAGCAAGACTTCCTCCACCGTGTCTGTGTCTTTATTGTGGATGGTGATAACTTTCAAAACCACAGAGTCATCTAATGAAAGAAATCGTACATGTTGCATACAGTATCTCAAAACTGTAACAAATGTGTAGCAGCTGTATCAGCATTTCATGGATATATTCTTAAACATATTGTTTTATTCTATAGCATTAATTGAAGCCTGTTTTACTCTAGAATTTTAAGAATAGCAATATATCTTCTGTGTGATGTTTTGTTTTGTTTTTTACCTGTGCCAATGTAGAGAACATGGTAGTGTCCATCCTGGGCTTGGACTTTGTCTACTGCAATCTGAGTGAGTTTTCTTTTGCCCGGCTCGGTCTGCAGCAGGACAGGTCTGTTGTGATGTGGGAGGACAGGACGGTACATGGCAGGATGAGATCGGACAAAACGCAGAACCTCATCAGGAAACTCCTTGGAGCTGGCAAAGCCTCCACCGTTAACTTTACTGGCACACTGTTAAAGAGATGGTGTGACATAAAAGAAGAGAGGAAACGGAGGAGAGTTTGACTTAGATAAAAGAAGACCGCTGTTTCATCACTGTGCAGGATGAAAAAACACAAAACACAGTCACTAGTAAGGCTGGGGCTGTCCCTGGGTGACCTGCTGAGGTAGCTACAACACTGCTGACATTAAGCAAGCCTGCCCTACATTCTTTGAACACTGTTCTTCCAAAAGGGCACCTGTCATGGACGCAGACATGAGGGAATGCAGAATGAATAATGATGGGCAATCAGGTAATTAAATCCCATTAACATTATTTATTTAGAATTCAAGGCTCACAGATCCAGGTCGAGGGTAGGGGACTCTGTCCTCGTAGGGTGTCCAGTGATGCTCAGGTCTCTCTCTATAGGCAAATGGACCGTTAAAGGCTGCTCTGATGTCATCCATGTGATAGACGCACACTGCATAGCCTTTAAACACAGCACTGCAGAGAAGCTTTCATTAGTGACTGAAAAGAGAAGACAATATAATAACATAACGGTGATCCCATACCTTGTTGTGCTAAAGAGACCAAAGATCTCTGGGTTTTTGTCATCTTTGTTGGTGAGCACAAATACATCCTCTATAAAAGAAAATACAGACATTTGTGATTATTTCAACCTTTATTTTAATCACAGCTGATTGTTTTTTTATTAGTCAATGTCATATTATGGATAAAAGTTTTGGCTAAACACAACATTCATAGGTTTCGTAATATTTTGGGTCATGATACTATGTAACAGAAAAATAAAAATACTGTAGATGGCGTTCAGCGAGTGCTGTTGTAACCTTACCAAGATCATCAAAGTGTGTGTCAATGCCATTTTGTCCAGCCACAGAGCAGATGAGACGAGTTTTCAAGAAGGAGCTCCATCTATTTACCAGCATTCTCTGTCCTCCCTGGTCATTCTGAGAGAGGGAGCTAGATTAGATTATAACTGACCAGTCAGCACATACTGAATTACACCATGAAAAACCTCTACAACACGAGCATCCTTACCGCACACACCCGCCCGATACGGGTGTATACAGCTTTGTTCATTCCGTCAGCATCCATCTCCCGCTCAGTGAAGAAGAAGTAAATTTTATCATCATCTCGGTCATCATTGTCACGTATAAGTGCTGAACCCACAAACTTTGGCTCTGTGGGAAAATGATCACATAACACAATTTTGTGCATTTAAAATCAGAAAGTAACAAGTTTGCAATTAACGTATTAGAACAAGAAACAGTAGTTAAAATTTTGTATTGACATTTTGTAAAAAGGTATACGAATTCAATATTTTGTTTTGTAATGTCTGTAATGTATTATGTTTAGATTTGTTAAACCATGAAGGGAAAAAAGCACATACATACTGTAGGTTTTGATAAGACAAGTCCATAGAGATATCATATGAAAGGCCTGTGTGATGTGATATTTGTGTATGTGACAATTGTGATTATTATTTCTGCAACGCAAACTGACCGTTGAGCTGCTGCCTGTCATTTCTTTCAGTCCGCGTGTAAGTTTGATCATTCAGTCGACACAAAGCGCCATCATTCTCCCAGTAGTCGGTGTACAGGCCAATGTAGAGCTCTCCTCCTGACAGACACACAGAAATATGAGTAACAATGCACAGGTTCTCCAAGCTTCAGCTGCTTCTCCTGTGCTTAAAATACACTTGAAGAAAACCACAAGGTGGCAGTGTTGGTTATTCAAAGATTAAGAGAATGGGCAACACCTCTGTAGTGGTCATCCAACTGAAATGAAAACATCCATAGTACTCTTCCTACTGCTTCTTTAGCTGATGAAGAGGTTATGAGTGATAAAGTAAGTCTTACTGGAGAGTGTAGATGTGCAGGAACTGTTGGGGTCATATGGACAACGTCCTCTGCCACTTATGACACTCCCCTCCTCAAGAGCAAACATCACGTCCTGAGGAAAAAACCCAAAACACATGTGTATGGGTAGTGCTATGCAGACAAAAGTACACACGAATGTAAAGGTCACAAAAACACTGAACCGCAAGACTCCGTAGAGATAATTGAGGAAATTCCTGAAAGGTAAAAGTGTGGAGAAAGATGGATGAGACCAGGAGTGATTAATGGCCAAATTACGGACCGCTATCAGGATGTGTACAAGTAGCTTTAGTTCAGTTTTACACACTTGAACAGTAACTTCTCCTTCTCCACTGATGCTGTCCAGCATTTGACTGTGACATGCAGAGCTGATCTCCCAGTAGCACCACAATTCACACCATATGTTTTTGGCAGTTAGTGTTTTTGGCATTTCAGAGGGTTCCTGTTACGGATTGTATTTGATATATGGGAGGCATACTGTGCTGTGGCAGCATCCAAAATCAGTTTCCATCATTTGCAAACCAAATGAAAAAGGGTACAGATGTATGGTGTAATAAACTGTTTTCTGAATTCTGAGGTATTTTTAATCAAAATGTAGGATCCAGTGTTGATAAAATACACAACTCAGTAGTTGATGCTTGGTGCGATGGATAAGAAAAAACATTTTATCGTACCATGCAGCTAGGACTCAGTGGTAACTATCAGTTGAATTTCGTATCATGATCAAGCATAAGATCTGTCTGAACCAGCTTTGTTGAAAAATGGTCTATATTTACAGTATATAAATTAGTCCTATCTCTTGCTGTTTTTGTTAAACTATGAGCATTCCAGTCATGAGTGATGGTTAAGTTAAGAATGGTTTATATCTAGAAGCTGATACTGGCTGACCTGCTGGACCAGTGGTGGAATGTAGGGTGGAAACTTGTTGTCTCTCCCTTTTCTAAATTCATCATTGACACACACAGAAAGACACCTGGACTGCACTCTTTTCAAAGTCTGGAAAAAACATGTCATACTGTGTCCAAATGTGCTCACGCTGATGTATGCCGGTCATTTTGCTTGCACGCCATTATGCATGGAGGAAACCAAGCTCTTACAGCAGTTGAGGTACAACACCCATTTTACATAAGTCTTGTCTGCACGCCTCCTCTCACTGACACAGAGCAGCAACTGGCCTTTCATCTCTTATACCCGGCCACTATGGCAAAAGATTTTTACAACATAAATGAGAATGATATTCGTTATACTTTTCACTCGCAGGACAAGACAAAATTTCATCCCTCCATTGCCTTTTCCATCGCAATCTTATATCAGCCCTTGATGCCACGTGCATGAACCCATCTACAGGAGCAAGGAGTGTTTTCCAGGAGCTCCTGGCTAAGTCATTAAAACACTTCTCTATCAGAAGAAGTGTTCAAAATGTCAAACAGTTGGTTGACAGCACAACAACGACGATTATATTATATTTTGGGATATCTTTCACACTTTAACACTTAAAGTGTCCTTTGCTTGTCCTTTACAGCAGGAATTTACATAAAAAATATTTTTTTGGCACTCACCTGACTTGTGTGTCCCACACTGACCATCACACAGACGGGGTTGAAAGCTCCTGTTCCACAGGCCAATAAATGGGTTTGGTTGTACTGCTGCAAGACCTTGATATAGTTTGCACATTCTGACTGTTGGGAGATATAAAAGTTAAACATTGTAAATTAGGATAGCTGAGGCCTCACAGTGATATTAGCTTTATTGAAAAAAAAAGCTTTAGATTATTGTGTCATCATTAAAATCAATATTTTAATTTTATTCATTCATTTATAGCTATATATGATTCAAAGGGGTTAGAAAGACGAATGTAAATTTTAAGCATAAATGCTTTTTACTGATAACCCTAGTCATAACATCAGAATCCACTTAAGAATACCAGCATATATTCAGTAAAATTTTCTTGGACTTACCTTTTCCCTCCCCTTCATCATACAGTCCTCTATCTGTGCCTCTGTACTGCTCCAGGAGATCTGAAATAAAGCAGAGTTGTTTCAAATTCCCTGGTCTTATGTTGTGGATACAGCGTATCCCCTGAACTATTTAGCTTTTACTAAAAATCGAGAGATATAACTGAGCATTTTCCTCAACCAGATTTTTTGCTGTGATATTTCTGGCGAAAACTCAGAACCCACATTAGACCCACAAACACACACAGAGACACACATGCGCATCCCATTAGAGTTTAAGAGTTCAAATACTTTCAGTACTGACAGGCAGGAAGGCATGAGGACAGGCCTACCTTTCTGTGGTTCGTGTTAACCCTGTCCAGGCTAAGGGAGAACAGAGCATTCTTGGCACCGACATAAAGCCTCTGGTGGCTCTCATCCAGTAGCATGGTCTGAGGCTGAAGATGAGTGCCATGTCCCTGGAACACCCGGGTCCTGTTCATCTGCCAAAGCTCTGCACACATCCACGCAGAGAAGTGATAAGAACACAGGACTGTTGATAGATAGATAGATCTAAAGGTAGATAGGTAGATCTAAAGCTAGCCCACAGAGTACTTCTGTAACCCCTGCCTAAGGCTCAACTACTCCATGAGCTTAGGGTGCACTGTACCATATGTTTCTGATATTAGCCACCCCAGAAGAATGTCAGTCTGAAGCATAGCTGGATCTGATCTTTCCCCTTGCGTGGTGCACCTATGCCTTTTATATCAGATTTTTAACTGTCCTTTTTTATCGTTAAAACACACTAAGCTAAAAGCACTTTAAAACCACCAATAAATCTCTTAAATTATAAATCTTTATTTCTGACCATAGTGCTCAATCATTCTGAACTAAAAATAGTCTTGAAAGATGTAATGATTGATTTACACCGTCTCTCTCCTGTCGTCCTTCTAACCAGGAAGAAACATTTTAAATAGACAGGATACAGGACAAGTGTCTATTACAGTTATAGCTTTGCATTAGATACCTCTTCCACCAGAAGCAATTTATTGAGGCAGAAATGTCACCTGCATCTCATCACACACACAGACATCAGAATAACTGAAAGTTGGAGGTGAGTGAATTTGACCTTTCTAGGCCTCCTCTTTATAAGCTCTTTGAGAAATGGTGGGTGAGGGTTATAAACTAAGTCTTAAATCATTTCCTTTGGGTTTGACTGGCCTGAAAAACCTTTCATTAACATGGGGTTAGACCCAGTGTCCTTGTAATAGTAAAAAAATAAGGGGCTCTGGTGTGTGTTATAAGTGTCTCTAAAACCTCAGAAGATACAAATGCACACAGACCAGGTTTTGTTTTGTAGACTGCAGTGGTGTGCAGATGGTAGAGATGAGGAAATTAAATGAAGAGAATAATCATAATTTATTCACAAATGAAAGCATGTTTAAACTAACCACGTACCTTGAATTATGCTGAGATTGGTGTTTGAACATGTTGGAGTAGCAGGGGGTAATTGTATGATTTGTTTATCTAACATCTGTATATTTTTAGTGATACATGATATCCAAGTTAAGGGAACAAAGTGTTTCTTTCTGTTTTTGCAGATCACTCATGGTAACCACATTTCAGTCTATTGAGACTTTCTTTGTTTGAAATTGGATTAGGTATCCACAGAGGAGTGGGTGACTATATTTTGTTGATAATAAGATTTCCATGTTGGAGACAAGCGGCTGTTTGTTTGAACTACATTAGGTCTTGGGTGGTTCAGTGGCAGAGACGGAGGAGATGTGGCAGTCATGTTGTGCCAGGGCCAAGACATGCTTCCTGTAATTATCAAATCCACACAGGCGCACATTGAGTTGTTCTCTGTCTGTCTCACACATGGATGTCTCTGCCTGCTGATTCTCTCTCTGTTAAAGTGAACCTGTACGAAGGACAGCCATGCACCTCTGGCCCTGAACCATCTACTTCATGTGGAGTCACATTTGTTGCCACTTATATTACAGAAATACTAAGGGGGCTGTTTTAAGTGATGTAATAACCTGGACATAAGTCAAATAAGCTTTCATTTTGCATGTCTCTGTCAATAATGTTGAGTGGCAGCTGAATCAAAAGTACACTTAGCAAAATACCTGCAGGAGCTTATAGAGGAAAGAGAGAAAACAGAAAATTGATTTAAAAAAATGTGTTGATTAAAATAATTACAGGTAATCAAAGTTACCTAAATACAATTGGTGGATCGTTTGATTACACAGACACACTGACGGATGCTTCAGAGCCATATTTTAAAGATTTCTCCCCTATCATTATGTGTGCCAGTCAATGATCAGATTGCATAAGGCAAAAAAGAGGGGATTTCCAAACTTCCCCATTCCTCTCCCCTCTCTCCTTTCTCTAACCCTCTTTTTCTTTTTACTGCACCATCTGCAGATAGAGAGGAATCCTTTGCCGTCAGCTAGGGGCTGGAAGGAGAAGGAGGGCATTTCTACATCAGCGACTGATCTGGGGAGACACAGGGGCTGGCTGTGATCCTGCTTCAAATGGAAATCACAGCGGAAAAAGGACTCCCTCAAGACAGACACTATCACCAGTTGGAGCACAGAAAGATGCTGGAAAAGATTTGGTGAAGCGAAATCAAAATAAACTTTTGATCTTCTGTTTTTCCATTTAAGGACACACATCTGTGTCGGGGAGTATCTCTGTCTCTCGCTGTGCACATGGTGCACAGGTTGAACAGGTCTGTCTGCAGCATATCAGGACAAATGAAGAGACACAAGGAACTTTAAAATGCAGTGTGTTTTCCTCTCATAATTTATTTATCTTTTTCTTTATATCACATTTCTAAAATTCAAGAAAACAAGCTTATCCAGGTTTACTTATTTAATTAGTGTAAAGAAACTGAAATAGTGTAATTTGTCGGAGTGATGAAGTATGAAACGATGTTTGTCCTCAAGGCGTAAGTGAGCCTGAGCATTGTTGGGCTGGAGCTGGAGAAACGATGAAGGGGGGTAATGCCATTAACAGTATATGGCCTTGTGTTCCCATGTGTAAGGGAATGATGTCACAGAGCAAAATGAAAGCCATATGGATTCCCCAAACTGGATTAGGGTGGGAGATGTCTGCTTGCCTATAATATCCCTATGTTCAATGATAAAAATTAAGCTTTAAATGCTTTAAAAGTCAGATTTCTTCATAAACAATTTCAGTTTTTAAAATACATTTTATTTTCATCAAGTTCTGTTGTTTCCATACTGCCTCCAACATGCAAGCAGTGTCTCACACAACCAAATGAAAGACAGAATGATGCTTACATGCATATGCACTTTTATTTTCATACAAAAACAGAAACAAAATTTCAAGCAACACATACGTCTCTTCATAACACTGCATATAACAGGGATGTTACTTTGGACTCACCTAATGTGTAAAAACACACTACAGATTGTCAGTTTTAGTGGCTGTCTTTGTCCAAGCAGGCGGATGTGACACAGTATCATGTTGAAAGAAAATGTATGGCCTGTAGAGAGAGCAATTGCACAAAAGCTAAAAATGACTCCCTGTGGAAGTACAGCCATTTTCTTAAAAGAGTGTTTTCTAACCCTAACCAAGCGAAGTCTGTACCAAAATCAAGCTGGGAAGTGACAAATGTACTGTCATGTTACAGTTCCTTGCCGCACAAAGGCTTGTGGCTGCACAAAGCTTAGCTGTTTCACCCACCCCCATCTTTATGAGAACTTTGTGGCCTCTTAAACAAAAGACTCAGGACGAACATCTTCTGTGATGTAGAAATACCACACATTAGTTGTATAACCCTTCCTACACTCGACCATGATTGAAAGTACTTCACAGGACACTGTAATGAGCCGACTGAGGATGGGAGCAGATGACCATTTCAGTCAAATGACAAAATGGCTTTTAAAAAAACATACAAAAATAAATATGCATCTTCGGTCTTAATTGATATCTTCTTCACACCATGAAAAATATTAATTTGAGATTTCTGTATTTCACACCGCTCACTTGTTTCATCCTTCATTCTCTTTTTTCCTCTCATAGTAATATTGCAGCTAAGTCTCTGAACACTAAAGAATCTTTGTCTTTGCTCATTTCCCATGTTACAAACTCAACTCATCTCCTTGCCGTCTTTCCCTCCAGCAGGGAAAGGTCAGAAAGGATATTAGAGTTTCACCAGCTGCCTTCCCCTCTGGACATCTCATTAATGAACTGGAGAGCACACATATAACACAATGGGAAGCTGGGACGCTGAGATGTACTCAGACAAAATTAGAAGGAGTGTGAAGGGGAGCAGGTTTGAAAAATGATTACTTTTGCTTAGCTGACGTAATAGGAGGGATTTGTTTAAACACCACCATAGCCTCTTTTTTTTACTAGTTTGATTTAAGCTGTACAGTATGAATGTGCAAAAGCACCAATCCACAGTGGCAAGTTAAATATAGGCCTCTTCACATGCACACTGAAGGAAGGTATTGGGGATCCTCACTTGCCAAATTCATAAAAAAAGTAAACAACCATAAAACATAAAAATGAAAGAAAGAAAGAAAAATGAAAGCCAGAAGAAAAGAATCTGCCTTTTTTGTCTATACCATGCACTTTAGACTGTGCTGTTTTCCTTCTAAGCCTGAGAAGAAAGCCATCTACAGCCTCATCATTTAAGGTTGTTAAAAGCACAGAGAGAGCTTTTACTTGTCTGCAGAGGAAAGTCTGAAATTATAGTTCAAAGTGAAGCTTCATACATCAGTAATTGCTACCTGAGTAATCCTGGTGTTTACCCTTTCATGTACCTTGCAGCTTTTGCCTAAATCTTTTACTTTTATGGTAGGTGCTGAAAAGATATGCTCAAAACTATTTTTTTCAAACCAAACAATTGAATCTATAGCTACAGCTATAGTTTAATTTGTTTAGCTGTAGAGAGTATAAATTGGGGTGCAGTATATGAGCAGAATCAAGTGCTTTCAGTTAACTTTTCTAAATATTCTTCCATGAAGTCCATGTAATGTAAAAATACAGAGAGAACATATATTTATTTATGTGAGTGAGCATTTAAAGTTCAAAGTCAATCCTGCCAGAGCCACTAAAAATCACGAGCTAGCTTTATTCACCTTTGTAGGTCAGCCCAAGAAAAACATTTATGCAAGTAAATGCTTTCAACATTTGAAGAAAAATGTCCTTGGCAGATAGCTTAGGGCATGCATAAGTACCATATTTTATATTGCTGAAGTTATACCACAACTGCTTTCAGGAGCTCTTAAGCTATGTTAAAAAATGTTCAATAGTGCAACAGAAACTTGGCTTTCCAATCATCGACAACTCCTGTGTTTCCATGAGACAATGAATATCAAAAGCTACTTCTGCTTAAATGAAACTATGATGAGGTGAAGAGTTCAATGTTTGTTGAGGTAAACAGTAATCTGAAAACTGCTGTATCACACTCTGCACTTTTAGTCAGGAAAACAGGAAAATAAATCGAAGAATGACCACCTACCTGAAGCATGCTGACTTAGTGACACAAACTGACTACGCAGTTGCTTCATTAGCAGTAAGATTTATGGATGTCCTAAAGGAGAAGCCAATGATCTGAAACGAGCTAGCAAGAGACCTGAATGATGGAAATTCACACTGCACTGAGCTTTTTTAAAAAGCACAAAATGTTTCAAGCCAAACAGTGGGCTACATCTTTGTTGTAGCTTTGTAGTGAGTTTGTCTACCTTCAGAGACACTTTTGTGTATAATAACTCCAGATTTGGGGGATTTGATTAGTTGAAAGTTCGAGCAGTTGACGAGTCTTAACATCTTGAGACATTTGTTTAAAGTCTTTCGATGTTGTGCAGCCAAAGATTAGGGTCAATTATTTCTGAAAAACGGCACAGCTTTGGTGTTTGAAACTCAATACTCTGTGTGATTTGGGCATCAGCCCTGAGTTAACCAGCATTGCCAGGGAAAATGAAAGGATGAATGGGATGAAAGTGACTTAAATGTATTGGAAATAATCTCAATTAGTCCAGAAGTCTAGACAGAATGAGTGGCAATGGACAAAAAAAGAAGCCAAGAATAATATGCTTTCACATGTCCTGAGTGTTAATAACATCAAAGCACACTGAGATCCATACAGTATACCATTAAGGCCATCTTTGATTCATGTGATGGTGTCCCCAAAGGAGTTCTCTCCCACAAAAAATGAGAAAGATGATATTTTATTGAGCTTTCTATTGATCCCACAGTATAACAGCCTGTCTGACCAGAAGTAAGTTAAAAATATTTTTGTATTGATCATCAACTTTCACTTCCCATGATAATTTTTTCTCTGAAAGCTCAGACTTGTATTCGTCTCACATTTTTCTAATACCAGATGTTATGGTGATAGTACTATAGTCCTATGGACAAACATTTTAAAGAACATGCTCCTCAATCTTTCTGAACTGCTTCCAGGCCCACAGCCTGTGAAGAATTCACACCATTCCATCTGTGCGTGTGTCTCTTTATGTGTATGTATGAGTTTGCATGAAATGAAGGGTGTGTGCAAGAATCACTTGTGGGGCCCATGAGGCATGTATTAGGACTTAGATGTTTATCATTCCATAATGATAGGATCCAAGTGCAGCCTTTTAAAAGAGCCCTGTGCTAGCCAGAACAAGTATTCATGGACCGAGACGGATAGACAGAAACAGGGGCGGGATGTCAAACACTGCAGCAGTACTATCCCGAGGCACTCATTGAATTAGGTGAGATGTGAAAGTTGCATTCCTCTTACTTATGTGGAATTAGTGACAATGGTATTCAGAAGTGAAACGCTTGTTGATACGTAAAAAACTGAATTGATTAACTCCATCTCAGTTTTCTGTCAAAATGTCATCAAATCGTCAATTTTCATGAGACAACTTAGATTCGCAAAGTCTTTTTCGATTGTGTTAATGAAGAATTTAACCATTTAACAGAAGAATGAATGTATTCATTATATTTCACCGGAGGAGAAATCTTCTTCTCTTGTGGAAAAGGCTTGTCCTCGCTCGTTATATACTCAAAGTGCATATGTATGAGTTACTGACCATCCAAATTCCACACTTATTTTCAACCATGACTAACAGGCTTATGTGGAATCATCACCTTCTGTTGCTATAGAGATCAAAGAAACTGTGAGAAAAAGACAATGTTTACTCAAGTTTTATCTGCAAAGATAAAACCCTCATTATTGTCAGAGATACACAGCAATCAGTCCACATACCAGTGCATGCACATCCATATCACACACTCCCACACGCACACAAACAGGCACACACATCCACGTCTTTCTCTCAGACACATTCCCATGCCAAAAAGGAAAAATAAATAAATGTTCCATCTCTTCGCCACTATGGTATGAGAGAAAGCCACATTGTAGACTTTCAGCCACCATGTCTGTGGGACCAAAACAAACGGCACGGAGGCTCCTAAAACGTCAACTGAGAGAGGAAAAAAAATCATGTCACAGGGCAGAGAAAACCCTTCTCAGATCACTCTTCTGCTGCATGGTGAATTTTGCTCGCAGGCGAAAACATAAATCTTCAATGACTATGTCATTACATGGAATAAAACCCGGCAGCTTCTTTACACTGACAGAGAAACCTGCTTTCATGACTTTTTCTGAGATGATATCCTAGTTTCATTACTTTTTAGACACATTCAGACATATATTGACGGCTGATGCGCAAAAATCTAAAAATGAAACAGCAATGGTCATATATGATCTTTTTAGCACAGATGTAAGTCATTTTTACTCACAAAACAAGAATACTGCATTTTGGATACACAGGACTCTCAAACACGTTTCATTGCACCTGTCTAATTCTAATTTCACAGAGATGGTTCAGAACAGGCAAAGCTGTTAGAAATACAATGACAGCACTGCTCAAATTACTGTTTTTTAAATTTGATACTCCGGGAGTGCAGCAAATCTTTTTTATTTTTTTTAAACATAATTCAACATACGCCCGAGGTGAATGACAGAAAACCCCATTAGGGTTCCTTACCTTTATGGGAGAGCCGTATCCTAGGGTGGATGCTGTATGCTGTGTGAGTCATGCCAAGCAGAATCATATACAGCAGCATGGGTGACAGATTTGAAATCCTTCTGCATCCTGCGATCATGACACACATTGTTTACTCGTCTAGGGGAAACAACATGTAAGTCCGCTCAGCAGGAGCAACAAAGTCCATGAAAAAGGAAAAAATCCACAGGTCCTTGCACTGACTTCCAGCAGGCGCTGTCTAACATTGGACAGTCTTCAGCATCCAATGACACTCTGCGTTAAGGCAACATTTCTAAGGATGCACCACAGCATAGATATAACAGATTAATCCCAGCAGCATCTATGCAGTTGTTGCTTTCCCCTATAGCTGGGGACTGCTGAAAGCTGCATCCACCCACTACCTTAGAGGAAAGGATAGTGCTTTGGCTATTATCCTTGTTTGGTCTTAGTAACCAGGGAGAAGTCCAGTTGCTACATTCACGCCGCAGTGCTCACTGCTCTCTGTCCATATGTCCGTCCTTCTGTTTATTAATCTCTCTCCTTTCACAATTTCAATCCACTTTCAGTAATCTGATGACTAAACAGTAAAAAAAGAAAACAAAGGAGATGAAGCTGCTGATTCTTGAAATCCCAGTCTGCCCCTTTTGGCAAACAGGTAGCGCTGGAGATGCAGTATGGTGTCTTCAGTTCCCCCTCTTGGGTCCACTGGAGTCAGTGTTACTCTGGACAGGAGCCCAGGAAAAAGGCAGAGTGAAAGAGGGGAGGAGCAAGGAGCCTCGTGCCGGGCGTGCGGTCTCCCTGTACTGGAGAAGAAAATGATGCTTCAGCTCCTAACTCTGTTCATGCTCAAGCAATCAGGAAGCATCCAGACCTCAGCTCTTACCTCAGCTCACTTTCTACCACAGCTACTGCTCTGAAGTCACTGGCCGCAGTGTGGTGTGAATTTGAAAAATCCTGTTGTGTAGTGAGTCTGAATCCGTCAGAAAAGCTTAAAATTGCTCACATCTTCATATACAGTGTCTTGAAATCTCCCTCCTTGGCAGCTGGAATCAAGTCTGCTGTGTCTCCCAGTGAAATTCAAAAAGTCTTCCCCCTCCTATAAGCAATGCTGCCTCCCATGTCACTCCACAGAGCACCGCCTGCTTCTCCTAAACTGCTCTACTCCAGCACTGCCTTTTTTTTCCGCTCCAGCCATTGCTGCACTGACGTGGACATAAGCCAAGGTTAACAGGCACTTTTTCGTATTTCCAATTATTCCTCTTTGTGCTTGTGTCCATGTAGATAGTTATTATCACTGTTACCATGGATTTCCATGCACAAGGTTCCTTTCACTGATGTTTTCATCTGCCTTTCCATTTTCTCTCTCTCTCTCTCTTTGTATCTTCCTACCTCCCAGTCATTTTCCTCAGTTCCCTTAAGCCTGACTTTCTGTTTAATCTGATTTGTCCTTCAGGTTCTCCTTCATTAATCATATCTTTTGTATTCCCTTTTATGTTTTGCTGAAACTATTATCCGTCTAAAAAGTTTATGAATATCTTCATACTAAAACATTTCTGCATGTGAATAAGAACAGTATTCCAGTTGGTGTGGCATTTGTATGAAATATAAATATCAAACTTACTGACATGTGGTTTTATGATAACTGTTTGCAGTTTTGTCTCAAGGTGAGCAGAGACTTTAGTTGAAGATGTCGTTGCTCATGCTGCAAATGCTCAACCCTTTTAAGAAGGCCCTGCAGACAAGCGTTTACAAGAGTAGAGTGATGTCTGTCTCCCATATTGCTCGCAGGACTACATCTGTTTTATACATCTTTGTCTCTTTCCCATGGCTTTGTTGACATCAACATTAAGTCATGCTGATCCACACTAAAGAATCCCACCAACATGCATTGAGAAAGAAAACGATAAATAAAGAATGTGCTGGATTTCCTACATTTGCAAATCTGTCTTGACATTTCCTAGAAACAATGTCGGTTCAGATTTAGAGCTTTGGACTGATTGATCTAGAGAAAATAACTGTAGTTGAATGAGGAGAATGAATATCAATAGGGGAGCCAAGCAGTAAAAAGGATGAACAAGGGAGATATTTACATAATAGGAAACACTTCTCATTAACAAACAGCAAGCCCATAAATGAGGTCCCATGCAGTAAAATGGAATTGTAAATGATTGCATAGGGGTGTAGCAGCTGCGGTACCACCCCCATGCTCCTGCACCACCCTATGATGTGATGACTGACAGCAACTCCCACGTTGCACCTGTTCTCCACCCGAACAGCAGGACTTTTTGTTAGAGGAGGTCTTGTAACATACACTATCTATGTTATTCCACTGCCTGGTGCAATTATAGTCTCTCATCTGTTGTTGGGGGGTGAGACAACTGTGCGACGCCAGCTTCTCTGGAGCTGATACTATCAGACTAATTGTGTCACAGTGTGTCATTAGTCTTAACCGTAGCAGTAATGTAAGAGCGTATTTCAGCTCTGCAGCATGAAAAAAAAAAAATCTCCTCCCGCCAATGGTCATCCGAAACCACTATCTTAAATTAATAGCCATGCAAGGAACTTAATGCCTTGACCAGTGGGCACCATATTCAGTTCCAGTCTGCTTATTTAATAGCTGAAATCTGCTGGAAAGATGCCTTACACCAGAAACAGTAGCAGCTCAGCTGTACATGTCTGTACTTGATCCTTGCCATTCTCTTTGGGGTTTGCACCAAGGACCTTCTCATGCAGCCCTCCTACACATAATAAATACTGCAGCCATACGCCCACTTTCTTTCCACCTCCATTGAAATTCTGTTCTTTGAGATGTGTTCCAAAGATTCCAACATACCCACGATTTTTATCAACAGTATACAGCTGTGCAGAGATATTGGCACCATGCTTAGAGCACTCTGTGAAAGCTTCACATTTCCAAGAGGTCAACATTGATTCCTGCAACTTGCCACATCCTTTAATGTTCTCTTCCTCCAGCTGCTTTTTTTAGGAAGTCAGAGTGAGCGAATGTGAATTTGAGTGAGTGCCGATGTCGGGTGTTTGTTTGAACAAGCCATGTCCAAATGTCTCACAGCGTTCTTTTCAAGCTCACTGAACACAGAAAATATTTTCATTCATGGTAATGCTGTGTCAATATCCACCCGGTTCAGCGGAGGCCTGTCTCACCTCCTGTCTGACCTGCAGACACAGAATTGCACACTCTTCCTACCCCCAGCGTTCACACTCCCTCTCTGTTTTTTTACGGCCTTGCGAGCTCTGTCTAGCTGCATGCACCAAACTGCAGTATATAGGAGGAGAAAACAGGAAATATCTAGATTCAGTAAGATACCGCCACTGAGTGAGCATGTGCAAATAGATTTATGCAAAACACTGGTTGCATGTCTGCTACTCACCACCTGCTGTGCTACCCCCCGCTAAACAGAGGTCATGGCTCTGGTATCCTGCAGCAACATGAGTGGAACTCTGAAGATCCAGTGTTTCAGTGCCATGTATCCTCCAACCGTTTACACAGGTGGCAGTCATATGGCCGGTTAAAGCGAACTAAAAAGCAGGTAGCGGTATTCCTTGTGGTCATTCATTAAATATATATTATAGAAAAATTCACCCAGACACAAAATGTTTTTCTTATTTCTACGATCTGCCCGTAGAGTGCTCTTGTTTCCTTGTGTGTGATATCATGCAGAGAGAGGGAGTGAGGGTGTTGAACCACACAGGTCTGCTAGTAGAGAGCAACAGGCAGTGGTCTGTTTTAGCAGGAAAGCCCCTTGTGTTATGGTTGACTTTGCTGACTGCAAATATTATAGCGTTAAACCCAAAATTTAGACTTGTGACCACTTTTCACATATGTCTTTAAATAAGTGGAAAAACGTGTGTTTAGATTCTGTTACAGCCCATTATTTTCTAACATCCTACTGAGAGCTGCTAACCCTCAGGTGAGGCTGTAAGTAGGTGAGCGTCTCGCATGAGTGTCTGAATCACTAAAGCGTAGTAAATACTCTCCTCTCCTTGCCCCATACAAAGCCACCAACTACAATGTATCATCTAAGTTCAGTTTTACAGCCAACAAAGAAAGCATGTGGCCTCTATTTTGGCTTTTCCCTCTTCCTGTGATTCGGCTTTGGGAATGTATTTTGTAGTTACAGGGTCAGTAATGGGAAACCCAGCCCAAACCAGCGCACTGCAGTCACAGATGGTGAAGAGGAGGAATGGGTTACACCTCCAGAGTGATATGGGAAGTGACCATCTGGTGTCATGTGTATTCACATCCATCATCATGGTAACCATCTCATAATCCACAGGTGAGTTAGGGAGGGTGTATCATTGTGAATGCGCGACCAGGGCATGTCTGTGTTTATGCTCTTTCTGCTGTGTGCTGGCAACACTTTTGCAACTTCTGACTAAATTAAATCACTTGCCCACATGTGGAAATACTCATTTATTCTCTCGTACTTTGTCATTGCTCACTTTTTGCACAGTGATGTGACTATTTTTTTTAAAGAGTTGAAGATCGAATAAGCAGGCCACTTAAAAGGTTTTTCTTCTGCATAGTCTTGTCTCTGTCTTGACTGTATATTTTAAACTTACCATGATTACTGTTGGCAGGAAAAATAAAGAGCGATATAATAATCATGGTGAGAGGTACAGACTAAACATCTGCCTCCAGCATGTATTTAACTGCACTTCTTCCTCAATGATTTATATTCCTACTGAAATATCACACGCTCATTTAAATCATCACCTAAACTAAAACATGAAGGCTGATACATGGAAAGACGTTGAAAACTGAATGAATTCACAAATGCAATCACGTATAAACCAAACAGTAGTTTGGGTTTTGCACAAGGAAAACCTATTCACTAGTGTAATTAGTTGAACTGTGCACACAGATGTAACCCGAGCATCTTTGTATGTGGAATAGGTCACGCATTCACCTCTTTTCCTGTTTAGAAATAAAAATGGACATAGAACCAGAAATTAAATGCGATGAAGTTTCTGTGGAACACATAGTCCCACTCCTATGTTTGAATTAGCAGACTAACTGCTCTGGAATAGACAATATTCCACAGAAAAAAACAAAGTTCTTGCAGCCTTTGAACTAACCTTTACAACAATATGAGAACTTGTCACAAAACAGAAAGCTTTGTGTCTGTGCCAATGAACATAAATTCTGTATGTGTTATATACTCTTCAGCATGTCTTTCAAGTTAAATCTTTCCATAGCATATCTGGTTTGTGTAAGCTGCATGTTTGGCAGATCTTCCAGGACTCAGAAGTCAGCTACTTTTGAGAGGATTGAGAAAATAAATTTTAAAGTAAAGGGGCTTGAACACACTGGTCAGAAATTGAATTTGCGCTGTGTGGTACCAAAGATCCTTTATGTCCTCTGACTTCGTAGTCAACTCTGTCTCCTATCAAATGTTTTTTGCATTTTTTAATTAAATAAACAAAAAAATGTTAAAAAGACGAAGGTTTTGTAATTTCAACTTGTACAATATAAATCAAATTATTTTTCACAAAGTACTTTCAAGATTTTTTCTTAAAATGGCTGTATTTCTGCCATTTACAAGTACTCTTCACCCTTCACTTCAGCACCTTGTTCTTGTCTAAATCCTGGCCTTGCTTATCATAGGAACTGAAGTGTGAGCTGACCCCAAGTGCTAACGAGTCCTTCATACTTCAGCTTGCACCCTTTACGCTCCCACCAGCACATGATACCTATTGACAAAGAATGCAAGTGGGCAGTTGAGAATTCAGTGGGAGATATTAGTGTGGTTCATGTCCACACACTGCTCCTCCTGGAAGAACTATCAGCTGTCCTCTTAACTTAACTTTACCACTCTGGCGGCTTTGGCAGACATTATCAGTGACGTCTATCAAAACTCGTTCCCAATCCATCAATAGATGTCATTTAGTTTACATTTCTTCTTAATTTTGATGAAGAACCTCTTTTGGTCATTTAGATTAGGATTGACATTCCATAGATTTCTACATTGTAAAAATGCTGACACTGCAGGTGTGAACTCTTGCTTGAATGTGCGAAAAGCTACAAAGCTTTTGGCAACTAAAAAAATAAAAAATTGTTGCA